CAAGATCTACACCTGCTACTAAAAATTGCACATTTATTAAACACAAGCAACTGCGCCCTGTAACGATTGATACTATGTTATTGGCACTAGTGCTATTTTTTTTACAATTCACAACTTAAAGGAAAAAAAAAACCAAGTGGACTGGGGAGCAGCAACAGTTTACCGGCGGGGTCTGCCAAGTTTAATATCCGTTTCGCGCTCGTTCTAAAGGGCGACATCTGCTCACGCTTTATGACGCTTCTAGGCTCATTTCATAGATACGCCCGCCTAATTTATTTGATTGAGTATTGGGACGCTTTTCGCGCAATGTAGAGGGCGGTCGCGCCAGTGCAATGCTGTTGCTCTTTCGCTAAAGCAACAACTACATAACGGCTTGGCCAAAACGAATGCAGTGTACCGGAAACATTACGCTATCATAATGGTTCACCAAGCACACGAATTGCCACGTCTGAGTTCTTGTACACAAGCTAGAGAAGTGCCGGCGAGTGCGACCGGCGGCTGTCGGTGAGAAGACACTAAATTACGTTCTCTGGGAGTGCTTTAATCGCGTCGCATCGATGTTTGTTGCTTCTTGAGCGGACACCATACACAATGAAAAATGCTTCATTTAGGTTAATTGATGCCATATGGCTGCGCTGTATTGTCATACTTAATCGTCGTAATCGTGTATTCTGAAACCCGGAAGCACGGATAACACAATTGTACGGGCTCGGTCAGTAGGCCTAACCTTTGGTGGAAATGATGATGGTAGAACATGTAGTGTACAGATCCCAGCTTCGTACACTATATAATTTGCCCGCCATTATAAGCCCACCCATCATCTGCTTACTGCTTCCCAGCATTATCGTGATGGTGGGCAGAGCTTCTCAGCTTGGTACACCATGTGGCCCACCATAACAAACCGCACCCATCATCTGCTTAGTGCTTCCCAGCATTATCGCAATGGTGGGAAGAGTTTCTCAGCTTGGTACACCATGTAGCCCACCATAATAAGCACCACCCACCATATGCTTAGGGCTTCCCAGCATTATCGCAATGGTGGGCAGAGTGTCCCATTATTGCCCACTATCTAGCCTCTGCTTTCCACCATCATTTCCACTTTACCCATCATCTGTACACCATACCACCCAGTATGTCCCGGCATAACCACCATATTTTCCACTACGTCCCACCATAGCCATCATAATTTCCACCATGCCCACTATTATTTCCACCATGCCCACTATTATTTCCACTACGCCCACCATGTTTTCCAGTATCCACCATGGCAATTTTTCCAATAGGGCTAGTGGGTGCATCGGCACAGAGCTTCTTCTAGGAGGTGTTCTTCTGTACCGGCGTAGTTTCGAATAAGCCTCTGAAAGTGCTGCTTCTGTGCTGCTTTGGAGGGTTGCGTGGCTAGAAGTGTGCGTAGCAGATGCCAGGTTTTCTTGGTGCTCAGAGTCCCCTGCAGCTTGTCACAGAAAGCATGCCAGTTCTGCCTGGCCAATCGGTTCGCATAATCTTGAGCTTGCTCGGTGAGGAGAGAAATGCGTTTCCGTAACTTTCTGTTTAGTTTTGTCGCTTCCACCGTTTTAGAAGTCCTCTTCTAGTCTCCCAAAGGTGGAGGAGATGCGCGTCGACGGCGGGTGTATCGACGTCAAGCTGTATGTCCTTAGTGTAGCGTTCGGCTATTTTGAGCACATTCTTAAACCAGTCTTCAATGTCGATTATGGTGGTTTCAACGTCGAGGTCATTCCTAAAGGATTGCCATTCCGTTAACCGCGCTATTCCAGTCTTGGTCTTTTTACGAGTGTGCGCTACGGAGAGTTGAATGGATGTGACGATCACTACCTAAACCCTTCCTCGTGGTGATATGATAGCCCCATGCCGTGTGAGAGGCGTTAAAGGCTCCCATTATTATGATCTGGTGGCCATTTGTGCGCTTCCTGATTTCTCGTATTAAGTGATCGAAGTATGGTTGTTGGCCTCGTGGGGGCTGTATATATTGGTTATGAAAAGACTTTGCTGCGTCTTTCGTTCCGGCAGAATCTCTATTAGGGTATGCTCTATTTGAAGTGTCCTCGATTTCGTGCCTTTTGCATTGAAAGTGCTTTTTGACAAATATGGCAGTTCGATGGGGTTTGTGCGCAGGTCATGTAGCCTTGCAGTCGTACGTTCTGCGTGTTGGTTTCCTTAAGTGCAATGATGTCTGGTTGGTTAAGCTTGATGAATTCTTGTAGGCTTGCGCGTCGAGGGCGTATGACGACAGTTCCATTGCCATATGCGTAAAGTTGAATGCTGGTTCTTATACTTATGGTTAAAAACTGCCATCTTCAATCGATTCGATGTCACGCCTGCCATCGCGACTCGGCGAGACTGAGCGAGAGGCATTGTGCCTGTTCGCTCGTGCCTTCTTCCGAGTCATTTGGCGTGGGTTGTTCAAGCTGTCGAACTGTGCCATGGTTACGTAAGTTTTCTTCACGTGTGCGATGAAATTGTCGACTTGCGCAGCAATCCCATCAATTTTGGCATTAAGCGTAGTGATCTTGCGTTCAAACATTGAGGCTGTTTTTTCTATTGCAGACTGGACAACCTTTTCCATCGTGGCGTGCATGGTATTCATGAAAGATTCTTCGAATATCGTGCACCTTGCGTTCAATAGAGCTTGGACGCCTACCTTGGTCAGCGTCGTTGCCGGCTCTGTGCTTGAGTTTGCTTGTTCTTGATACTGTTGTTCTGCATTGCCGGAATGTCCTTGCTGATGCGTGCACTTTTCAAGTAGTTTGTCAATGAACTCTTGTTGTAGTTTTTGACTCTGAAGCAGTTTATTTATGAGACTTTGTTGGCTTTGCAGTTGGCTGTGCTGATTCTGGAGCTTTCTTGCTGTTTTTCAGTCTATCTTCGAGACCCTGTATGGATGAGGTGTCCGACTTCGAGGAGGTTAAGCTGCTGCGGTCATTAGATCCACTTGCCATGGCAGCGTAGCTCGCACGTTTAAACGGAACGCGAGCGCGTGCGAGAGCGGGAGCGCGAACTGGAACGCAGTATTGATTTGGATCTACTGCGCGCAGAGACGGAACGCTTCCGAGAGTGGGAGCGCGAACTCGAACGAAATTTTGACTTGGAACTGCTGCGCGTGGAAACGCGGCCCTCATTGTTACTGTTAGAGGTAGCGGCCGATATGCTAACCTCAGGGAACTCTTCTCCGCTGGCGTTCCAGTTGTTGTCTATTCTTGAAGCCTGTTGAGGCGCTGTTGTCTTACGTTGAAGGGTGGTGGACTTGGCTTTAGTCTCCTTTTGCATTCTTTACTTGCTGTTTTGTGTCCTTCCCCGAAGATCTTGCAGATGGGTGCACATTCATGTCCCTGCGTTTGTCCGGCCTTGCCACATTTATAGCGGAAATCCGGGACAGGTTTCGGACAGACGCCCTGGCGGTGACCCGTATTGCCACAAGCTCGGCAATACTGCACTGACTTACGATATGGTCTGCAGCGGAAGTCTACGCTCTGGAAAATTATGTAGTAGGGAACGTGCGGTCCTTCAAAGAAGACAACTGCCGCGGTCGATTGATTTAGCATTCGGGCATGAAGAACTGTGTATCTTGCCGGTGCGCGAATTCCAGCCATGAGTTCTGCGGTGCTCGTACCGGGTATCAAGCCGCTGATGACGCCTCTGGAGACATCGTCCGGTGTTCTGATGTTGCCGTTCACAGTGTAAAAATTTCCTCCAAGCTGTATTTTTTGAATGCTTACCAGCTTCTTGGCGTCTTCTTTGGCGGCGGTGCATGCGATGATTAGGTTTCCATTCTCTGGACTTGTACGCGTACCTTGTCGTTAAAGTCTTGCTGTGATAGTCCACTCACTCTGCTGATGGCATGCGTGAACGCGACGGTGTTCCATTTGGCGAGGTCAAGACCTGCTTGCGGGCGGTAGACGATCTTGAAGTCATCGAGCGGCAGAGGTGGCATCTTGGGCCTGCATTGTTGCTGCGTTGGTGATGACTTTAGCGTCTGCTCATTGATAGGTGGCTGCTCTGTGGGTTGGTTGGCCGGTGACCTTGGATTGGCGACAGCGTTCTTGTCTTTCTTATTTCTCGTGATCCAAGCGCTTTCCGTTGCAATTGTTCTGCCACTGCCAGCGTCATTGGTCCACAAATTTTCTGTTGTTTTGTTTGCGTCCACTTGGTCAGTTTGCATTGTATTTTCTTCGTCTTGCTGGTTTCTTTGCATTTTGCTTGCTGCGGCTGCGTCTCTGCTCATTCTAAGCTTTTCGCCACGGTGAGCGCGAGCGCTCGTGCCGTGCCGTCAGGAACGCCTGAGCACGTTGTGCACGCGCCGCGCGGCTTTGCCCAGGAACGAACTTGGCGTTAGGCTTATTAAACTGGACGCGCGATTGTCGGGAATTAGGTCTTATATCTTGAGACAGAATGCACTCACCCAAAAGAAGCAGGTATCCGCCGATTCCTCGTGTCTTGGCGGCTGAGGCTGTGAAACTCTTGGGTTCGTCACCGGCCTTGTTTCGGGTTAAAAAGCACGAAAATCAGGAGCCCATGCGAGACGCGTCTGGTCTATACGGCCCCCTAGCGGTTGATCTCTGTTAACGCAGAGTTTCAAAAATTTCTCATTGCGGCATGCTTCTTGTAGGTTTGTGTGCAACTGCAGCGCCGAAAATCAATTTTGACCTCTGGGTGGTCTAGGGGCCCTATAAGGCCTTCAGAAGAAGCCAAAACGTCGTGCTTGTAACGCTGCAATGAATGAAAATTATGAAAGCAAGCAAGCGATAATACACAAAGCATAGCTGCTGTCCACAACAATTTACATCACTGCCTAAATTCTCAAGTTCCAAAGCTACACCCTATTGTTGCAGTCTAGTTAAAAATAGTTATACAGCTTTTCAATTTCCATTGGCAATTGCAAAAAAATTTGGTGTGCAACTGTGAAACCCACTTTGTACAAATACCCAAGTTCAACCCTTCATTCAAAGAACAGCACTTCTATTTTACCCAGTTCAGCACTAGCACAGAAGATTGACACATTTCATACGCACATCACAGTGTTGTTAAGAGCTGAAGACATCTCTTCAAGAAAATTCAGTCATGTATCACACCAAAATGACAGCGTCTATTCTATATACATTTGTGAACATATTCATTGATGACATTTTATCAAAGACACACCATAGTCATTTTTGTACCACTAAAGTTGCCTTATCATAATCACTTTTTTTTATCAGTTTTAATGCAGAGATTCGATGCATAAGAAATGAATATTCCTTTCAAGCCTTTGAGAAAAGCCGACATTATGTCACAACAAACAAAGCACAATGTGCTGCAAGTGACACGTAGTGTTAACTCCATGTCCCGTGACAAAACTCGATCCCAGTGAGGATGTGACGATTCAAAAATCTTAAAATGACTAAAAGGAACAGAAGCACCAACTAGGAAGTGTCGCACATGAGAATATTTTTTTTTCCGAGTGCTTCTACACAATGCTCAGCAATTCATTTTTCATTTTTTAAGATGGAACCATTTTTGTAAGGTGGCTTCAGGAAATGTGCGGGCCCAATGCATGTTACAGCATTAAACATAACGCACAAAAACGGCAATAGTAGAAGGCGTCCTCTTGTCTGACGCGGGAGAGACACGTGACCCTCTGCAATGCGGAAGTCTACGCACTGATGAAAATTGTGACACCTAAGTCGAAACCTTGTCATGCCTGGGGCCCAGAATCGATAGCGCCACTCAGCCGTAGCACTTGGCCTGCATAGCACAAACAAAACAAAAATGCTAGCAAATCTGAATGAATTGAGTACGCCATTTTTCCTGTTGAATTGTTAGGCATACGCGGCTGCAATCACATGACACCTAGAAAAAAATACTACAAGTACTGTACAGAACTAATTCAGCTCTTATTCATTATCATGTCTTTCTCTAGACTGCACACAATTTGGGACAGAAGGAGAAAAGTGCAATTACAGGTAGTGTGCAGGAAACCAGCAGACACAGTCTCAGCAGCTTGGCACTCTGCAGTAGCTGGAATACAGGAGTTTTGAACTGTGCAACGCACAGTTGCTCTTTACTAGTGTGTCAATAAGGCCCTTAAGGAGGCTAGCTGGAGTATTGGGCGGTCTATTGAAAGGCTGTTTCTTCCTCCTATTGTAAACAATGGACAGTGAAACAAAACGCGGGTGGCCTATTGAAAGGAGTGAGACACAAGCTGTGGGCCGCCTATTGAAAGCAGCTGTTGGTGAAACAATGCGGTGGGAGGTCTACTGAAAACAGTCGACAATGAAACAAAGCGGTGCGCGGTCTATGGAAAGCAGTGGGTGGTGAAGCAAAGCGGTTGGCGGTGTATTGAAGGTAGTGGTTGGTGAAGCAATGTGGTGGGCAATGAAGCAAGGTGGTGGGCAGTGAAGCAAGACGATGAGCAGTCTATCGAAAGCAGTGGGCAGTCTATAGAAAGCAGTGCGTGGGGAAACAAAGCAGTCAGCGGTTTGATGAAAGTCACTAGTGGGTGGTGAAAGAAACGGCTAGGTGGTCTATCGAAAATAGTTGGCAGCGAAACAGAGTGGCGGGTAGCCTAATGAAAGCAGCGAGCAGTGAAACAAGGCAGTGGGCAGCGCAACAAAGCTGTGGGTGGTGAAGCAGCATGGCTGATGGCATTTTCACTGCTGCCTGCCGAGGAGAGAATTCCAATTGGTCTGCCACAATCGTTATGAGATTCAATTTAACTGTTCACGTTATAGAAGGTGCAACAAATGCGTTGTACACATATGCAGTGCAATATCCATCTTGTCAAAAGATGAAGATGAACTTTCACAAATTTCCGCACTAGCAGTGTCCTTCATTTCTGGCGCTCAAGAGCACACGTTTGGCAACATACAAGCACTCAGATGCCGGCGAACAAACTAGCATTTCCTCGCAATCAGACACTCACTAAGCCTGGCCGCTGGCTTAGCCTTCTTGTGAGACTCCTGCACCTTCTGGAAGTGCTCCAGGAGCTCCTGGAAGTTGATCTCAGACTTGCACCTCTCAGCACTGTTGTTCTCCACAAATCTGCACATAGATGACGAATATGAAGCATTAGAAAAAGAAATAGTTAAGCATGCCAATAAGGAGACAAATGAAATAAACAGCTGAAACCCACTCCACTCACAACGCAGTTTCTCACGTTGCAACCTACCTATGCAACCTACCCACCCATGCATATAACCACACCCCCAATTACAAACAGCGAAAAAACCAAAATAAAAGAAACACTCAGTCTTGTTGCACAGGCAAAGCAATGAATCTGACAACAACAAATTGAAATGTTGTATGAAGTAAGGCCACCAACCAACTCCTTTATCATCTAGTCTGGCGTAACTCTACAAAAAGCTGGTATAAGAAAGATTAATCACTGCAGTGAGCGAAACGATAGATGTGCTGTCCATCCCTTCAAAGCAATCTCAGTGATAAGAACACAAAACTTTATTGCAGCACCATAGTAACAGCAAAAATGTACTTGGTGTGTCTATAAAATGATAAAATAAGAAATGTATCACTATTAAGTTGCCTTCCTTGCATTACCATGAAGCAGCTCCGCAAAGCAAATTTGCACACCGCAATTAAGACTCAGAATCTAAACAAAGACAGCAAAGAATCTGCGACGAAATTCCCATCACCTCAGAACTTGAACCGGGTCGTTTGCAAACACTACCGTCTAATTGTATCAGAAATATATTAATTTCTGTTAGAGCATACACGTTGTCACCCTCTACGCAATTCGCCTCGGAGAATGCTGAATGGCCAAAGAGGTTCGATGAAGAACTTGCTGCTTCAGCGTTCAATGCCTCAATACGTCACCAGAATTTATTGAATTACACTAGAGAACTCTATTGGTTTCCGCGAAATGAACATCTCCTTTACCTCGAACATCTCCACGCATCGACAGGCACGACAAACATGTGAAGCTAGGAGCTGAAAGTGTTCGAACCGACGGACTCCGAAGACCCATGCAAAGGGTGGCATGCAAAGGGTGCACACTATCTTCAGACTGCCTTAGAAGTTACCCGGCAACTGCCTATACACAGGTACTACACAAATATTTTGTCTTTTGTACACGAAATTTTTATTTGAACAATGGACTGCAAGCATGGAGCGCAGAAGGGGCGTGCCCTTGGGTGTGTGTTCACTCACTAGTATCTGATTTTGGAAAAAAACGGTTTTAAGCCATACAAAATACTATTTAGGAAAAGCACGAAATAGAAAATATGCACAAAGAAACACCCTTATTAAACTGCAAAAAGAGTGATTTCTTTATGCTTTTTTTTATGGAGTTATATAGAATTCATGCTTTTTTTATGCAGCTATGTAAATAACAGACGATGACTACAAAATTAATGATGATATGCCTTTGATTATGAAAATCCATGGCAAAAGACTGACACCACGAACAAGAGAGAGCTTGTTGTGCTCAGAGGTGCACTGTCCTAGCTCAAACATTGCAAAACATTGGGTCTTGTGATATCGATTTTTAGACAAGATACTTACTACAACTATTTGCACAGTTAATTGACAAAAGGCTTCATGATTGACGAAGTTAGCTGTTGCCAAGGCAACCTTAAGCTTATTTCACTGTTGCCACAAGCACCACGAAGCTTTCGTTTGGAAAGGGTTGCTGCGTGTTCAATAGAAATGAGCATTGGATGAGCAATATGTAACACCTCAGCTGCCAGAGATGAACAAACAAGCCTATAATAGCATTGCCATCTGAGCAGCAGCCAACTTCGCCTTGAATGCAACTATCCTTTTTTTCCTATAATCTTTGCAAGTAAGTGACAAGTACTGCATTAAATGATCAGGACAATACAAAAAATAAATAATTACTTCAGCGCAGCAACATGCACACATTCACATTTGAAATAAAATGTGAAAAAAACCTGAACACAACAAAACTAAGGGGACGGGATGTTTCCGTTTTGTCAATGTTCAGGTTTTTTTCATGCTTTCTTCAACTATGAATCTGCACCAACTCGCCGAACCCTCACAGCTAGGTCACGCGCACAATTTCACAAAGCAAGATTATGTGTCAAATACACACGCCCCTGTACTCTACTGACTGAGCGCGCTTCAGAGAAGGTGTGAATATAAGCAGAGGCACTGTCAATTAACTGCAATCAATGACTGTACAGGCATCAGGACGTTCGAGGGTAGGGTAGATCGTTCGAACTACAGGGCTGTCCAATCTTGGGGCTAACACCGCCCAGCGTGATCCCACTCCGCAGAGTGGTCCTGCATCCACGGCAGCTATATTGGAGCGAACAAAAGGAGCGAAATGGCAAGCAGTTTACGGCATCAGCTACAGCACTGGAGCACGCTGCTCTTGCGCTGCCGAGAAGTACAGGCAGTGCAGGCACACACCCGTATGCCTTCAAAGATTTGCTTTGATGCATGGCCACGCCGAGTGCACCACACAAAGCTGTATTCACTCTAAATGTGGACGGCACTCTGTAACCGATTTAACGAGTGCTCACCTTCGAACAGTGGCGCCAGTATCCATCTGCTGCAGGGACGGGTGCGGCAGGCAGGCGAGCCTTGTGCGCAATGTGTGGAAGGCCTCGCTCTGGGGTAGCAGCATGAGCAGGCCGTACAGAGACTTGACCAGGTAAGACTGTTGTGGGCTATCTAGCAGCTGCAGGCGCAAGTCTATGCGCAGACAGTCCGGTGCGACACAATCAGCGACCGAACTCACAGAGGGTGCAAACACTTTGTTCATCGCTTACTGTCAGAACAGGAAATATAGTCGAACCTCGCTACAATGAAACTGACGGGACGGGGAAAATATTTCGTTGAAGCGAAAATTTTGTTGTAGTGAAATCGAAAAAATATAGCTGATCTGAGCTAGCAAAACAAAGCAACGTTTATTCTCAAAATTCAAAAAGTGTCCGCTGCTTCCTATTTTTTCCCAGCAGCGTCATGACGCGATTCTCACCCATGCATAGCAAGGTCATGGTGAAAAGCACGCTGAAACAAGGCCTATAACCACTTTCCTCAATGAACAAACAGCTGCATTAGAATGTTAACACCAGCAGCTGCTGTCAAATTGTATCCTACAATTTTGAGATAGAAGCAGAGTATCGTGGAATGGCGACTTTTGCATTATTCTATGCCATTCTTACATCCATCACTCGCGGTTAGCTGATTTTGTTGATAATTCGGACGAAATGCCGCTCTGATTAGTTACCACAATGGCCAAGCCCAAATGAAATGATACGCATTGGAATCGAAAAAAAGCATCGTTTCGCACAGCTGGGTGAAAAAAACCACGAACGAAGCGACTGAGCTTCAGCTTCGGTTTGTCTGTGGCTCAAATGCAAGCCAGTGGCAAAGGAGGGCAGTCTGATTACCTTCGCTATTGAGCAATGGTGGCGCCCATGCTTGTTGAAGGGCGGCTGTTTCTGGTGGTGCCAACGCGTGTTTTAGACTTAGTCGACGTATTTTCAAGTTCTGAATATGCATCGAAATGCTAAAAACTGTGTTTACTGTATAGCGATAAATATCTGAGACTGGTATTGCATCGTGAAATTTCGTTGAAGCGGGACGGCGGAAGAAAAAGTGTTCGTTGTGGTGACATCATTCATGCATTGACTCATATGAACTGCCGACGACGAACCGTGAATTTTTCGTTGTAGCGGAAATTTCATTGAAGCAGCGTTCGTTGTAGCGAAGTTCTACTGTATTCACAAAATACTGCACTGAGTTCGCACTCACATTTTTCTATTTGAATTCACTTCAGATCCAAAATTTTGGCTATTCGCACAGCTATAGCATCTTGCCACGCTGAAATGCAGTTGCCGTACTTCGAAACACGGCGCAGAAGACAATCACACTAGTGTTGTCAGGAAGCCTAGCAAAACAAAAGCTTTGGAGTTCAGAGAAGCAAATCACCTTTGCGTATATGTAACAATTGAAACTGCAAATGATCCGTCTCGGTGCCGGGCATTACACCGAAACACTCGAAAGTTAAAAAAAAAATTTTGGCAAGGGTGTTGAATGTTCCATTGCCTGTTTGATTTCTCTGGTGGATACTTTCTTCTGCACAAAAAATCGAGACTTTTAGGCCATCCTCATAGACCACAAGTACGTTCAGGTGAAGCACAATCTGCACGTCAACATAAAAGACAATAACTCACATGTGAAAATCGGAGACTCAATCAGCTGCACAAGCTTGTCGATTTCAGTGAGGAACTCGACTGTCACCTCCATGTCGCTGCTGTGATACAAGTAGAAGCTAAGGAAGGAATGTTCACGGAAATATTGATTGCACAATGACAGGCACAATCATTTAAATTGAACCCTTTCACCAATCAGTTTTTATTGTTACATGGTAGGCTAACTACAATGTATAAAATGCACAGCCGACTCCTCTTACACGGAACTCAAAGGGGATCCATAAAGCTGTTCCATTTATCACAAGTTTCATTTAAGTAAAGTACACTTACTTAGTGAATCAAAACCTTAATTCAAGTTGCATAAACCTCACCGTACTCATGAGGATGAGTAGGAGAAAAAAAAAGAGCGAAAGGTGGTTTGTTTGGCAAGCTTGAGTTGTTTTTTCACAAGGTACACACGCATTCCCGACAAACTAGCCAGAAATTCTGGACAAGCCTTATGCTCAAAATTGCGCTGCATAAGTTCAACAGCCTCTTTAGCTAATCGGTCTCGTGGCACCACTACACTGGCAATATTGTCCCCACATTCATCGCTGGAAGGTTAATCGTCATCTTGTACTTTTGCAATCAATTCCTTGACAGTTTCCTCACGACAGGTACGAACATTTTCACCAATTGAGTCGTATTCCTGCAGCGTGAAAGGGGCAGAGGGCACGACCTCACTGAATACTGCCTCAATGTCGGCATCAGCAGGGCTTTGTTCTTCATCAGGTACAGCTTCTTGCACTTGAAAGCCAGCATGATGAAAGCATCTGTATATTGTTGTTGCCTTCACTTGCTCCCAGGCATGGGCCAAAATGTGAATGGCTGCCAATAAATCTATGCTGTAGCAATTCCCACTGTCTGCACCAAGCAGCAATCGATAGAGCAATTGTCTGCGGTAATGAAATTTAATGTTCTGAGTAACCCCTTGATCCATCGGCTGGATCACTGCCGTTGCATTGGCTGGCAAGAACTCCAGAGCGATGGCTTGGAGTCAACCTGACCGTGGGCTGGGCAATTATCCATGATGAAGACAACCTTCCTGCCTTGCCTCATAACTCTTGCGTCTTCCTGCCGTAGCCAGTTTTCGAAGATGGTCATGGTCATACACGCTCTTCCGTTTGCATGGTACGCAACGGGAAGGTGTCGAACGCCTTTGAAACATTGTGGGTGCCTTGATTTTTCCATTACCAACACCTTCAATTTCTCATCTCTTGCCTTGTTTGCACCGACCAGCACAGTGATGCGATCTTTACTGCATTTTCCTCCACTACAGGCTTAACCTTTGAAGGTGAGAGTCTTTGATGGAAGCGCCTTATAAAAAAGACCCATCTCGTCTACGTTAAGACATCTTGTGGCTCAAAGCTCATCAAAATTTCCTTAAAAGTCACCCCTTTTGCCAGTCGGTGCAAACGTCCCTGTTGACTGCAGTACGCTCACCTGAGATTGCTTTGAAGATTAGGCCATGGCATGTTTTGAAGCGGCTGAGCTATCCGTCGCTTTGGACGAAGTTCTCAATAGCCATTTTCATGGCGATCTCTCAAGCTCTGTGCTCGAGAATTGGTCCGCTTATGAGCAAACTGGAACTCTGTGCACGCTTGAACCAGAGAAAAAGAACTTCTTCTACTTGTTCTAAGGGGTCGTCCACATCCTTTTAGATGTAAAGGTCCCGTTCTTTACAGTGCCTTCAATCTTTTCTCTGCCTTTGCAGACCCGCGACAGCGTCGACTTCGAGATGTATTTTTTCGCCACTTCCGTCTTGGGCAGGCCACTCCTGAAAAATTTTCAGCTTTTTTTCAAGCAAGAGTGCATGGTGCGGACGCTTCCTTTCCATCAAACTAAAAAGAACACTGTGATCCACCGCACTTAGCCGCACAAATAGGCCTAACACACTACTGACTCGCCGACTCAGCTCCCACAGCCATAGAGTTTCCTAAAATTAATTAGAGGGGACTTTGGTGCTGCGATCGTTCAGCGACCATGGAATGATGGGTAGTACACACATTTGTCTAGTCTTCGTACTTGCGGGCGGCGAATTCGTACTTGCGGCTTGTTCATTGCTGTGTTTCGGTTTTGTTTTGAAATAAAGATTCAAACCTTTTGAACTTCGCGACCCAATTTGGAAAGGTAATAAAATAATGAGGTGGTGAAGCGCAACCGCTGAACATTTGCTGATTGTTGTTTCGTGAGAAAACAGCTTCAAGCCACACACACACACACAGAGCCAAAAGCAGGCCAAAAGTACGAAGATTAGACAAATGTGTGTACTACCCATCATTCCCATGCTCGCTGAAGCGCCGTGCGTTGCAGCTCCCATTGACACTAGCGCCAGAGTTCCCTCTAGTGTATATTAAGAAACTATATGCCCACAGCCACCGCAAGCGAGAATGGCTACTGGATTGGCTTGTCTCGAGGTGCTGTCATGGTTGTGAGACTACCTCTGTCCTGAGCGAGTTTATGCTGTGTTTAGAGTTTGTGCCGTTTAATCGTAGGTGACCAATAAGCACTGTTTCGATCAACCGATGAATTTTACTGCACAACACATAGAAATCCAGCCACATGCGCTCGTTTAGTTTCATTATTGAGGCATTTTGGTTTAAGCGAGTTTTGTTTATTGGAAGTCCACTGTACAGAGATTCCTTACAAGGCCTTTTGCAGCCACTTTTTCTTCTCACGGCATCCCACAAAATGGGACTGCGTCATAGAAGTAGGGTTCCATAAACAAGTAACAAACTGCACGTGCCTGTTTAGTTTAAAAATTCGAATCAGTGCCATAAGGTCTAGCATCATTGCAACATCCAGTTAGCGAGTTTCTAAAAACAAAACAAAAAAAACAAACAGATAATACGTTTGTCATATGTTCGTGAAAAGTATCAAAGTACTAATCAAACATTGAAGATTCATTAAAACACTATGCTAATGAAAGCCCAAGACATCGAAGTTTTTGCCGGAATAAAATTTTTGAACTAGTGATTTCTGGTAAAAAAACTTTTTTTTCATTCGGCTTACTAAGAATTAACACAACTAACCAGGAAGCCTCCCATTTCTGAGAACGCACACCTGTGGCGTACTTTGTTACAGTAGGTTAGAACTCTTCAGTGAAACACAATTCAAACAACTGCTGAATGCACCTTTGCAGCATCGGTGCCCATTACGACACAGAGCTTTATCACTGCTCTTTGTTCAAAAATTGAGAGCCCGTTTAACGTCATCAAAGTGCCATTTCATAAAAAGGTACTAGCAATAAAAAAAAAAGATCAAATATGCTGTCTCATACAAAATGATGAGAGGGCAATGCTGTGATGGTAACATGACGAGCATTTGCGTGATTACACTCAAACTTTGATATAACGAAACCGGATATAATAACACATCCCTCATAATGAAGTAAACTGAACATGGTCTTGCAGTAGGTATAGCGTTAGAAGTAAACCTCCACAACAAATTTTCGAGTATAACGAACTTATTTTCATGTAAGATGCAACTTTCTTATATTGAGGTTTAAGTGTATGACCTCCTCAGTGCGATTACTGTTTAAGCACTTAAGCACACCACTCACAAAGTGGTTTGACACTAGTAATAATGACATGACAAAAGTTTTCTTATTCAGTTGCAAAGTGTAATAAGAGCTCGTTTGTATAGCACTCATTAATTCAGAAAATTGGATAATTCAAACGTATTCTTTGTGTGAGGAACGAAGCCCCTTCTTCCTCCCTTATTTATAACACTCTGGTCCTGGAGAGTGTGTGCATTGTTTAATTATTTTTGGTGATTCAGTCCTATGTGGCCACAACTCTGCTAATTTAAACGCTCCGCGGAGAGCGCCGAGCGCGAAGTGCTGCAAATGTAGTATAGAAAGGAATTAAACAGTGTTCGCTGACAGCTGAAATGACTGGGCTTTCGGAAAGGTGTCTTCCCACCCAAAGTTGTGTTTTCGGTATGCTACAAAGCATGGATACAAAGCACGTTTCAGAATAAAACATGGAGTTCTTTCATTGTTAACATTGTGAACAACGACAAAAGCTGCACCTTTTGCACTGCTCCTATGTAAAATATTTATTGGATTTGCATATTCCTAGAGAAAATGAAGGTGCATTGATGAATACACATTCGTTCATTGTGGGTTGATGAATACATACATTATTATTTTCTCGATACTTTCGGTAAATCAGCATTCGATTATTTCAGGCAGTTTTTTTTTTTCAGTCTTGTAAAATCTGACTTAACGAGCTGTTACTGTATAACATCACTCCACATATATATAATCAGGTATGATCCTTGCGATTGGTTAGGTCCAACATCACATCACAGCATCGTCATTTCAGTGCCACAATGTGAGACAAGTTTCGTGAGATTGGCACACTTGATCAGCATGTTGCTGTATGAGAAGTACACAGACGAGTGCCGGTTAACCACACTAAAGTATGTGTAGGCTTTATGGATAGTATTGTAGTTAAACTACCGAATGCCTACACAGCATTAAACGTACACTCGAACCTTATTAAAATAAAGTTACATCACACACGAAAAAAGCTTTTTTATATCGAAAAATCTTTTATAAAGGTAATATTTCTAACACTAAAGTGATTGCGAGACTACTTTTGCTTTACTTTGTTATAACTGATATTTCGTTATATCAAGGTTTGAGTGTAGCAGTTTCCATTCTGCAAAGGATACAAGAGGTGCAGCAGGGAGCAGGTGTGCTCGTAGTTCTGGGTGAGCAGGCACAGGGATATTGTGGCGACTGGGTTGTGGCACCATGACCGGTACAGGCAGCAGAACAGCGAGCAGCTCTCCTACACACAGCATGAAAAACAGGAAGCATTCTTTAGCACAAGAGGTTCAACAACACTCGGGAACACCCCAAGGCAATGAAAATATTCCTTTCGTTCAAACACACACAAAAAAACAACACTGTACTGCATATTGGCGCTTGGTCAGCACCAATCATAATGACAGTCTGCTTCTGCTATCTGTAGAATCAATCAGCCAAGAGTAGCGGATGACAAGACGAGCACTGTACAGTCGAACCCGGGTATATCGAACTCCCCAAAAAACGTTTATTAGTTCGATATATGGCATAATTCGATATAGGCCCGGTATAGGTTTTGACACAAAGGCAGATAACAAACTAGAAGAAAAGTACTTTATTAATATGGTGGCTTACTTGCGTGCCCTACTGTGGAACAAAATAGTCCAAGATTTTTTTCCTTGTCAACGGCTTCGCTGCCTGCGACAGCCACGCACAACTCCATGTTGTCCAACGAGTCGGAGCAGCTGAGGCCGCAACCTTCCACATTCAAGCAATAGCGCCGGACCAACGCAAGTGCACTAATCACTTCGGAGGATGTAGGCAATGGGCCGTCGTGGATTTCCATATTGTTGTCGGTTTGGCTCGTGGTCGGCACGACGTCTGCAATGTAATCCTCATCCTATAATTGGCCCATGATGGGTATATCATCGTCCGCACTGACAAACTCTTCGAATCTCAATCCGTCGATAGCACACGGGAACTCTGCCAGCTCGTTCCAAACTTTGGCGGAAACACCTGCGATGTCTTCAGTGCTGTCAGAATTTGGGGTGTCATCACCAGGCATGTGGAAGCCGGCATGCCTAAAGCACTTCTGGATCGTCTCCTTGACATCTGCCCACGATCTACTCAACATAGAAATAGCTCCGAGCAAGTCGATCTTAAGCTCCCTGCCGACACGAAGGTTCTGCAGCAGCCTCTCCACCAGGCGCTCCCCATAGCTGGCTTTCATTGCGCGTATCACGCCTTGATCCAGTGGTTGCAGTACAGACATAGTGTTCGGGGGCAAAAAATGCAGCTCCATGTTGCTGAAGGTCGTACTGCAGTGGTGCGATGAACAATTGTCCACGAGCAGGCACACCTTGTGATTTTCGTCTACCAAATCATCATTCCACGACGATAGCCATCTGCTGAAAAGTTCCCCGGTCATCCACGTTTTTGAGTTTGCTCGGTAGGTAACTGGAAGCGACAGCGCATTTGGAAAACATCGCGGTGCCATGCTTTTCCCGATAACTAGAAGTCGAAGCTTTTTCGATCCGTCTAAATGAGCTGCCAACAGCACGAACACACGAGCTTTGTTTGCCTTGTTGCCGCTTGTCTTGTCGCCACGACACGCAAGTGTCTTGTTTGGCAACATTTGCCAAAATAGAGCGGTTTCATCCGCATTGAAGATATCTTGGGCTCTATATTTTGCTGCGATATCTCGCCAGTTTTCCTCGAGCCATTTTTCTATGCTGTTCAGGTCTGCCGCTCTGCTTTCACGTGTAACAGCTTTGCCAACGATGTTGTGCCGTTCTTTGAACCGCTGAAGGCAGCCTGAACCGCCTTGGAAATCATACCTGCCAAGCAGAAAAGCAAGGTCCTTGGCTTTCTGCTCGACCATAGGGCCGGACACCGGGATATTTCGCGACCGAACGTCAACAAATCACTTGTAAACGGCCGCTTCAACATCTTCGTACACAGCAGCGCGCACACGCCGGGCGCCACGGGCACCTGGCCTTTTGTCCGACTTGGCCCTAATGTCTGCCTTGTTCTTCACGATAGTACTCAAGGTGCTCCTTGGAATTTTGTACGCAGCGGCGACGTCGGACTTCATTTCACCGCGCTCAACCCAATTGATGATTTCGAGTTTCGCGGCGAACGGCAAATTTTGCCTCTTTGCGCAAGCCATGATGACAGCACGCCAATACAGGTCACTGAGCACCAACAGGCAACACCACAGACCACGCTGAATCGGCAGCAGCAGGCACACAAGCATAAAGAAAGAAAAAATAGCGCTCAATTCTACTGCCTTCGCACCATGAAGAAAGCACTTCGGCTTCAGATTGGCTGTAGGCACTGCAAGTGGGCCAGGATCATTTCTTAGAGGGAGGTGTTCGCCCATGCACAAACGGGTCTAACCAACATTTTCTAGGGTGGCGCCGGCAGTTTTTCCCACCACCGCGAGGGAGAGCCAACTTGCTAGAGCACTTTTGAGGCGCATGGAGTTTGATATATCAGTTGTCGTTGCTATTTTCTTTCGATAAAACAGTAACTTTAGCTATATATTCTCAATGTAAACTTAAAGTGTTTAGGAATTGTTCGATATACGGGATAATTTGATATAAACGGGTTCGATATAGTCCGGCTCGACTGTATAGCAAATAACACAATATTACAATATAGAGCAGAATCTCAGTGATACGAATCTCACGGGGGAGTGAAAATTTTCATGTCACCTGAAATTAAGAATCACAAAAAAAATTGACCAATGATTCTGAGACTGCCTACAGCAAATTCTGTGAAAAGCTGTTTATGTGTTTTGATCTTGCAACAAGTTGAGGCAAGCAATTTTAGAGAGACGTATACGTATGTACAGTTGATTGATTGATTGATCGATTGATTGATATGTGGGGTTTAACATCCCAAAGCCACTGTATGATTATGAGAGACGCCGTAATGGAGGGCTCCGGAAATTTCGGCCACCTGGGGTTCTTTAACGTGCACCTAAATCTGAGCACACGGGCTTACAACATTTCAGAAATGCATCCGAAAAATGCAACCATCGGAAATGCAGCCACCGCAGCTGGGATTCGATCCCACCACCTGCGGGTCAGCAGCCGAGTATCTTATAGCCACTAGATCACCACGACGGGCATCGTGCATTTATGATCACACACTACATTTCTGGACATCATCTCATACCAGCTCATCCGGGGCCGTATGTACAGTTGCATACGATGCGTTGAGTAACGTGACTGGTGTAGACCATTTCGTGTAGTCCCTTTCACATGAACTGCCATAAACAAGAGCGTGGCATCACCCTCTCGCTACCCAAGAGACCATAGAAGGCAAGCGTTCCACAACAGCTGCCGCAGACAGGCCTCCGTTCATGCAGAGCTTTGTTGCCACATGTGGCACTGGTGGATGGCCTTGCTACATGCTCCATGATTATTTCTGACGATTCCTTTCAGCCCCCTGCAGTCATTTTTCCTTGCTGCGATCACCAATACAAAGCCAAACGAGCTGTCACAGTTATCGTTTTGCTAATTCATTCATGCCACACACTCTCATTGAATGGAACTATTTATCATCTCACGTAGCTACTGGGAAAAAAAAGACATAACGAAATTTCAAGATATTCTACGCACTGAGCGTATTACCTAAATGTGGTGTCCTGCGATTTTTTAAAAATAGCATATTCCTTTTGTTAGTCTCAGTGTACTTCCTTGCATGTTTCGTACTTACTCGGGTAATGAACCCACCTTTTTTACAGAAAAGTTAACACTAATTTGGGGGGAGGGTTAATTACGCGGGAGAAAGAAATAAGTCACGGGAATTATAACACCTAAAATTTCGCTTGGCGGTATTGCTTGTTTTGGCCCGTGAAATGCGCAACAAATCTTTTTTTATAGGCCGAAACTCTTTTTGTTTCCTTCTGTAATGAAAACGCACGGATCGACGCCGAAGTGTTGTCCAGCCGCTCGGTTTCAACACTCCAGCGCATGCTGTTTTAACCCGCCGTGTAGCTAGCGCACCGGCCGAACGCACCCTGCACGGCAGGTGTCCCAACTAAGTTCACGACAACAAACCAAACAACATAAACGCAGCGTCAGATGGCAGAGCACAAATGTTGCGGTAGACATTGCAGGTGCACAATATGCCATTGACGCAATGAGTGCGGTTGCGCATTGCATAAGTCCGAGAAGGCAAACACACGGCACGTTACTGCGCCGTGCGTGCGACGTTTTGGAGACCACGCTTTTTGTTTTTGTGCTGCTGTGCTTTCCTGATGCTAACAGCAAAGAAATTTCTCCTGCATTCACCAGATGGCGCTTTGCCATAAAAGGCAGATTATAAAGGAAAGACTGCAGGCATGGATAGAGGATGAGGAGGTGCAGGAGGAATTACAGAATAGGTTTCGGAAACACAGCAGGTTGGAAGACAATCTGTTCTCACTGACACAGTGCATCGAAATAGCAGAAAAGGAACACAGGCACTTGTGGCTAGCATTTCTGAATATCAAGGGGGCGTACGATAGCGTGGTTCAAGAGGAATTGTGGGGAATACTGGACACACTAAGCGTGGAAGATGTAGTCACTAATCTTTTAAATGATATCTATAAAGGTAACAAGGTAATTATAAAGTGGGAAAAACAGGTATCCAAGCCTGCAGAGGTAAAACGGGGGCTTAGGCAGGGGTGTCCCCTGTCACCCTTATTATTTATGATGTACCTACAAGGATTAGAGGCTAAATTAGAGGGAAGTGCCCTGGGCTTCAACCTCTCTTTCGTCAAACAAGGAAAACTCATTGAGCAGGCACTACCAGCATTGATGTACGCAGATTATATAGTGCTAATGGCCGACAACAAGGAAGATTTGCAGAGATTGGTGGACATCTGCGGTAATGAGGGAGATAGGTTAGATTTCAGATTCAGTAGGGAAAAATCAGCAGTCATGATTTTCAATGACAATGAAGGTAGTGAGCTTAGAATACAGGAGGTCACGCTAGAGATAAAAGGTAAATACAAACATCTGGGCATATGGATAAGCAATGGCGCCGAGTACGTAAGCGAACACGAAACATACGTGACAACTAAAGGTAACAAGAATGCAGCGGTAATGAAAAACAGGGCACTGTGGAATTACAATAGGTATGATGTTGTGAGAGGAATATGGAAAGGGGTCATGGTTCCAGGTCTGACGTTCGGCAATGCGGTCTTGTGCATGAGATCAGAAGTTCAAACAAGATTAAAAATTAAGCATAGAGGAATAGGTAGGCTTGCCTTAGGAGCTCACGGGCATACTACAAATCAGGGAGTACAAGGTGATATGGGATGGACATCATTTGAGGGCAGGGAAGCTAGCAACAAGATCAAATTTGAGAAGCGGTTGAGAGAAATGGGGAAGGAGCGTTGGGCTAGGAAGGTATTCAGCTACTTGTACATGAAGAATGTCGATATAAAATGGAGGAAGCGAACCAGAAAATTGACTGGTAAGTACTTGGAAAAGAGCAGGGGGCCAAACCAAAAAGAATTATCGGTTAAGAAGAAGGGGAAGGAAGCTGAGACCGATATGTTAAGAATTGGCATGATTAAGAAGTCCGCACTAGAGATCTATGAAACTTTTAAGCAGGAAATGGCCAAAGAAAGAATCTATGATAATACTCGGGGTAGTTCTCTATTGTTTGAGGCCAGGACAGGAGTACTGCGAACCAAGACATATCAGGCCAAATACGAAGGGGTAGACACGGTATGCGTGTGGAGAGGAAGAAGAAACTGCCGAACGCTTGATAATGTTCCGTAATGGGCTTCACTCTATTGTTCAGGATGACGGCGCAGAGTTTTTCAAAGCACTGGGGTTTAGGGACAGGGAGGGCAAAACAGACTTTAAGCGGGTAGAATTAACTAGAAGGAGGTTATCTGATTGGTGGCTAAAGTCAAGGCACGAGTGAAAATTAAACCCTTCACTGCAAAGTACGAATCCTCAACCTCACTATTTAATAGAAAAAAAATATAGTTTTTGCTTCCTTAAGCATTATGGCTTGGTGGCGCTAGCCACCGCCCGATCTAAAGGGTACAGCCATATCCATCCATCCATCCATCCACGACTTTCAAATTTTTTACTTACGTCGTCCACGTTCGCGCTGCTCGCGACTGTTTGGCATGATTGCAAAACTAAGTTTTCACTTTTATTGCGCTGTTATTTTATGATATATTGGTTTGATTTAACTTTGTTTCAATCGTAAAAGGCACTGGCTATCATGCCGAAATAAAATGAACAGATAGATAAAGTATGTTTTTTTTTCCTTTTTCAAAGAACAAGGTCGGGGGTGGGTTCTTTATGCGAGTGGGCTCATTGCGTGAGTAAATACGGTATTTCGTGTACCCTGTTTGAGAAGGCGTTCTGTAACTGCCTTCTATGCTTGCACTTCTAGCTTTTTATTACTACTTGTGTATAGTTACTTCAGTTCCTGATTTCAACCCCTGAACAACTGACAACTTTCCTGTTGAGAGCCAACAGTTTGATACATGTTCAGTACGTATGAATCCAAAGGAGACAAAATTTTTTTTACTGTAACAACTTGTATGCCCGATTGCTCGAACTAACCACGCTATTTTGCGATGAATCTGGTCTCATAAAGACAAGGTGGCTCACATATCGATGTGTTTCGGATCAAAGTTACTCCTGTACAACTTGATCTGAAGTGGTAAATATAAACATGGGCATTACTTAACCCTAAATTGTCCTACACTTGAACCTCATTATAACGAAGTTACATCTTACATTAAAATAAGTTCGTAATATCCAAAACTACGTTGTGATAATATATTACTATCACTATCTTGCAAAACCATTCTTTATTTACTTCATTATAACCAATATTTCACTATATCCGGGTTCGTTATATCGTGGTGTGAGTGTATTTCAATCCATAAGTACCATACGCAGAGCTGCCCACCTTGGTGTTGAGGTCCTTGAGCTGGTTGCGCAGCTCAAACAGTTCGGTGGAAGTGAGCAGAATAGTGTTGAGGGTTTGCACCATGTGTGCCGCAAAGCGCAGGTCCTCTCTGCCCAGCAGGATCTCGGACAGGGACTGGTAGATGTCCTCCGCGCTCAGCAGCACGCACAGCTGCCTGGGCCATTGCAGGACAAGCAGACAATTTTTTTTTCTTAGAATAAGAAGAAGGCATTTTATTTTACACTGAAAATGTTTTCGAAATTGTTGAGAGAAAAACTGGGAAAATGCTTTCACTAGCAGATGTCTGTTCACAGGAAACAAAGGCCTTGAAAGCTTTTTTAGTTTAGTTTTTCATTCGAGAAGAAACTTGTCGAGTTTATGTATAAACTTGCACACAGACTTAAAATTATACAATAATTTGCCTAGTACAGTCGAACACGGTTATATCGAACTCACAAATGTTCAATTTTCAGGTATATTGAACACCCTAAATATCTCCTTGAATTTCCTTTGTAAAAGTATAGAAAATCGCACGCTTATATCGAACAGTGTTTTTACCTGCCTTCGGCACTTGCAGCAGCGCCCAGCGACCTCAGCCCGGCACCATGCCTTCGTCGAAACTCGAAACGCTTGAAAAAAAGATAAGGGCGAGAGAGCTCGGACTGCACAATCTCTTACTTGCGGAACACTTTTTTTTTTCGTTTCTCTTTCTCTCTCTCATGCTTTCTCAGTGTACCCGTCTGCAGAAACAAAGGAGTCGACGTTTTTCTCCATTCTCCCTTTCTTTCACTTTTTTACTGCTGTTTTTCGAGTTTTTATCAGCGAACTACAGCTCGCGCCTTTTGCTGTTGCTCTCGCAGGTGGCCATCGCCTCGCTACCGCTGTGTTGCTTCCGTACGTGTGTTACCTACGTACCACCGCTTGTGCAGCATTTTTCTGACGCGTGCGTGGTGTGCAAAGCCGCTGCCGACTCCTTGAATTGTCGACATCTCGTGTTCAAGAAGTGCAAGACCCTTGACTTTGCGACGAAGTTGAAGGCTATTCAGCGTGTTGAGGCGGGCGATAAATATTCATCCGTCGTGGACTACTTCGGGATACTATGAAGCATTCTGAGTACCTTGTTGAAAAACAAAGCAGATATCTAGGTAGATGCGGGGGAGCAGCAAACGTCGGGAGCTTGTCATGTGCGCGCTTTTGCCCATGGGAATGTAGAAAAGGCACTCTATGCCTGGTTTTTAGAAGTGAGCGCAAAGAACATTCTGATGGATGGCCCAATGCTGATCGCCAAGGCCAAATGGTTTGCCACTGCACTCAGTGAAACAACTCCACCGACAACACCGGGTGGCTTCACCAATTTAAGCAGGGCTACAACATCGTTGGCAAAACCAATTCTGACAAAAGCGAAGCTATCAGCAGCCAGGACATGCAGCAGTGAATGATGAAGGAGTGGCCAGATATCTTCACGAAGTTTCCTCCCGCGGATATCTTCAATGCCTGGCGAGACGTGAAGACGAACATAGTGGTCAACTGCTTCCGCGAGGCAGGCTTCGCGATGGCGGAACTTGCAGGAACCGGTGAAGACAACGACGACAAGCGCATAGTTGACGTGTTTCGCGAATTCTCGTCCCGCTTCTCGGCAGCATTTCCATGCGGACGACTTCGTGGAAGCGGAGTGTAATGTCCAGGCCGACAGCTCATGTGACGAGGAAGATCGTCCGGACGAGGCCCTGCGACACACACATACTCCGCCGCTTAATTGTGACGGCAGCGTTCGGCATCATTCGGTGTTGCAACAGCCGCATGGAGGAAACTGGGCTGTCGCACCTGGACAGCTTTGATAAGATCGAGACTAGCATCTTCAACATTTCGAAAACGACGAAATAAGCCAAGATTAGCATTTTTATTTTCATGCAAATAAATTATTCTGTTGCGGCGTGTGTGTGGAATTAGTGGTCATTCTTGAATGCACCTATTGTAGGTGATGATCCACTACAAGTAAGCTCTTGGAGTCCCTATTTTTTTTACATCGAATTTTTCATGACTCTTGACGCCCTCCGAGTTCGATATATCCGTGTTCAACTGTACACCATTCAGTTTCTTAAATATGGAACATCTTATATGCTATTAGAAGCAAGAGTTTGCTTAAACTGAGAGCTAATGTGGAGTAATAAGCATGTCAGAATGACGAGGAATGATTACTGAATGAAAATAAACAATGACGGATGTTGTAAACCTATCTGGACGAAAGTTATAATAAGCTGAACATTTACAGGTGCGTAGGTCAAGCTGTGATTTCAGACACAAATGTGTCTAGAAACTTCGTCATTCCTTCCTTGCAAGACGCACCAGCCTTCTACCCCCACTCTACCTGCATGACAGCCCCGTCGTGGTAGCCTAGCAGTTATCGCGTTTGACTGCTCACCCAAAGTTCATCGGATCGAATCCCGGCTCCTGCAGCTCATTTTCAATGGAAGGGAAAATGTTCTGGCCCGTGCACTTAGATTTAGGTGCACATTAAGAAACCCCAGCTGGCCGAAATTTTCAGAGCCCTCCACCACGGCGTCTGTTACAACCACATCATGGTTTTGGGACATTAAAGCAGATATTAGTGTTATTGTTTTTACCTACATGACGGGCCGACATGTGTGCCTATGAGGAACTTAGGAAAAAAAGCATGTGAAAGCAAGAAGTAGCTTCCACTCACTCCACGTGGCGCACTGCTAACCATGCTACTTGCTTTCCCAAATTGATATCAAAAGGTACCCTTCTGCGAGCAGAGGCCCACTTCTTGTGCTGTTTTGAACTGTTCGATGTTCAATGCATGAAGTGCTCCAGCTATTTTTTGGTCATGGAGCTGTAAGTATTCTTGTGCACTGATGTTAAAGCATGGCACTACTCGAAAATGATTTGATATGAAGGATAGTTCAGTTTATTCTAGTTGAATGCACTAATCAAGTTTGACTGCACAAGCCTTTACTATAACTCTGATAGCCGAGGCTCATATTCACACTCAACATGTCCAGACATTTAGCACTCCATAGGCAAGATAAATATTTTTCACTTATTGCCATTCTAAAAATTAACATAAATGACATTTACTGTTATTTTCTATTCTCGAGGCCAGTGTAAAACTTATGCGACTTGCACTTGTAATGTTTGAATTACAGTTAAACCTGGATATAATGAAATTCATAAATTCCTGAAAAAAATTCACTATAAAGAGGATTTCGTAATATGCAGGTTCGGTATGAAAATTTGGAAATTAAATGTGCAAATAAACAAAAAGGAAACTGACGGCAGAGCTAACCTAAAACATTCATTTTACAGCAAAAAAGTGCGTTATTATTGCGACAGCAATTATATGGACACTCTCAGCGGGTATTTACTGTCACCACCATGTTCCGAAACAAGTGCAAATTGATCACATGCCCCCGCTCATCCTAACTTTCAGGAGTGGGTAAAAGCGTGCGAGCGCTGCAGAAGCAGAGATCAAATCAGTCGGCCCATCCCTATCATCTGGAAAGTGCATAAGATAACATCGCCTGTGTCTAATGTTCGAACAGAAAGTAAACCACCCATCTTGACAGCATGAAACAACGCGGGAAGGGGAATCGCTCGAGTAGTAATATTGAACTTGTATGTTAGGGGCGCTCGTGCTACCTTGGCGAGTATCAGTGCGTTCTCAACGCGAAAGGACTGTGTGAAAAGAGCACTTCTCCCTGGAGCGGCCGCATTTGCTCCCACCAGCGTTTTGTAGGAGTTCTGCGATATTGGATTAAAAAGAGTTGGCTACCAGCCTTATTTCTTATAACATTACAATTTTTCGCTATCACGTTCATTGCATTCCATTCAAAAGCCCGTCGTGTTTTTGCCAGAACTAATCGGCTAATCGCAAAAGCTACCAGTCTGCGAACTCGCGGCACAAGACGGAAGCGCGTGACGAGTCGACCTCCGAATATCCATCGTCCCCGTGGTCTCGAAAAGTTTCCATCAGCGCCCAATCTGACATACCCTCAGGGTTGACGACACGGTTGTCCGAAGTTAACAAAAGTCACAGTTTCGCCGCAACAGCGAAGCAATGCAATAGCAACAACTTGGAATTAACGCCGAGAACAGCAAGCAGGTTGAAACGGGTAGCGCGCTGCTTATGCACAAATGACACACGAAAACAACATACACAAGACGAGAGCGAACTAACAACGTTCCCCGCTCGACACTTAAAGGGGCCCTGAAACACTTTTTCAAGTAACCATGAAATGAACCACGATTGAAATTGGACCTCTCTAATGATTCTGACAAGCTTATTGCCTTACAAGTTCAATGCTGAAAAATTTTAAGAATCCGTCCAGTGTCAGTGAAGTTACAAAAGTTTGTCGCATGCTGAAAATGCATTCTCTCTTCTCTCGTCCCGACGAAGTGCTGGAAGCTAAGCAGGGAGGGATGGCAGGACCACAGAAAAACGTCATGCGCGCTTCGTGACCTGGAGCACTTTTTTTCTTTTTTTCCTTCGAATGCGTGGCTTTTTTAGTGTGATCGCCCGCGCAGGCGTGGACAAGTAGTGGCCTCCCGCAGCGATCTCTGTAACCAGCGAGCGCGCTATGTTCAAATCAGCCAATGGCTGAAAGATGGGCTTGCTACGTGTCATTTTCAGACATATTCCGTGATTTGCCAAGAGAAGAGAAGCAATTTTCAGCTGACTTTGATAATATTGTGTATTCCAGGATGCGTGCTGTGCTATAATATTTGACTCGCGTGTTGCCGGGAGCCTCTACTACCGACCGGCAGCGTTTTCTGACCGTGCCAGAACAGTGTTGCAGGGCCGCTTTAAGGGGGGAAGCTACCTTCGAAGGGCAACTTTTTTGTTTGTTGAGATATCTTAATGAAATTTTCAGGGTACACTAATAGCAAAGCCATTTGAATAACCACAAAGTTTCATGCAGTTATGTTCACTGGTTCCCAAGTTACAACCATTTATCAGGGTAGTCCACATGGGTCCCTTAGTCAGGGTCTGGAGAACTTGAAAAATGTGCTAGCACTGTGAAATTCACTACGATGATTTCTGGATAGGTGCTTTAGGGCAAGACAGAGCCCTTTTTTAAAATTTCCTTGCCAAAAAATGTTAGCAGAGCACTGAATTTAGTGTTCACAATGTGGCTCTCATCAATGAAGTTTTAGTTAATTATTACAAATTACAGACACAATAAATTGAAAAAGCGGGCTTGTCTTGCCCTGGGCAATTTATTAAGGTGCATAATAAAAAAAACCTGATAGAAATCAGACCAGCAGTTCCAGAGAGATCACCTGACTAAGCAGCCTCACTGGCCAAAAAAGTCATTCTGAGAAAATTGACTTCGAAAGTTTCAAACATTTATTATGGTCTAAAATGACCCTGCAGAGTAGCTAGATGTGTCCTTAGGCTGTCTGTGTCCTTAGGCTGTCTTTTCTTTGCCGCTTTTCCTGCTTCTCATTCATCCGTTCTGAGCCCTTGATTCGTTCTGACGAGCAGAGCTCCACGAACTTGAAACTATTCCACAATGTGGACATACCAGCTCAAGCTTCGTGGCAAGTCCAAGCTGGGTGCCTCCTTGAACTTTCATCCCGGTCGCGAGGCAGCGCGGGCACGGGGTCTTGGACAGCATGTCGCTAAGGGCATCCCCTTGCACGAGGAATATCTCTCACCTTTCGGTCGTAGCGGTGGCAGCTTCGGGTTCAGGCATCATCGCTTGAAACTTCCTCTCGGTCGCTGGCATAGCGCCAAGCTTTCGTTGCACAGCAGCACGTTCTCTCTCCGCCGTCGCCACTCCTCGCACGTCCGAAAACGTGTTTGGAAGTGCACAGTCGACGACGCGGTCTCACTGTTCGGGGCCGGAATCAATGCGGTTGGCGAGCGCGACACACCAGGCGCACTTGATTACAAATTCAATGCTGAAAAACGTTGATTGATTTGTGGGGTTTAACGTCCCAAAACCACCATATGATTATGAGAGACGCCGTAGTGGAGGGCTCCAGAAATTTTGACCACCTGGGGTTCTTTAACGTGCGCTCAAATCTGAGCACACGGGCCTACAACATTTCCGCCTCCATCGGAAATGCTGCTGAAAAACTTTAAGAATCCGTCCAGTGTGAGTGGAGTTACAAATGTTTGTCGCATGCTGCAAATGCATTCTCTCTTCTTTCGTCCCGACGAAAGCGCTGGAAGCTAAGCAGGGAAGGATGGCCGGGCCACAGAAAAACGTCATGCGTGCTTCGCGACCTGGAGCACTTTTCTGTTTTTTTTTTCTTCGAATGCGTGGCTTTTTTAGTGTGATCGCGCGTGCAGGCGTGGACAAGTAGTGGCCTCCCGCTGCGATCTCTGTAACCAGCGAGCGCGCTATGTTCAAATCGGCCAATGGCTGATAGATGGGCTTGCTACGTTCCCCATTCCCTCGAGAGGCGCGCGCTTTGTCCAATCGCGGCTTCGCATCCAGGCAGCGGGACATTCGAAAGCTTCCGCGAGCCCCCCAATCGTGAGCGACTCCCGCCTCGGAGTGCCACCGCCACTGCCGCGGGTGGCGAAAAAAAAAAGCGCAAGAATTCACGAGCAAAACAACATCAAGATGGCGGCGATCGGCCGAGCGGTTGGGAAATGGCGAGCGCGCGAAGTTGGGGTATTTTCGGCGCTCACTCGCCGCTTGCCGGCTGCCGCGGCATGTTATAAAATTTATTTGACGTACTTTCGCGATGAATTAGACATTGATATTTACAGTAGAGGCAGTTTATGAGTCATACTGCCCGAGTATGTGGTTTTCAAAAAATCGACTTTTTCGCGATTTTTCGGTTTTCAAAGGGCGCGTCCCCCCTTAATGCACTGTTTAAACAAAACCGAGGTATGACACATAATAACAGGTACAGATATGAGTGCGAACTAACAATGTGCCCTAGTTGCTACTTTGCTTTGTTTGAAAAGCACACTCTTTTCACCAACGGCGCCTGTCCTCCGAGCGAAGTGATCTTCGTGTGCTCGGCGGCTTTTTTTTTTTCTCAATACTGATGTTTTCCAGCCAAAACACATAGCGAATTTCATCACACTGCCCTTTATTAAATACTTCATTTTACGAGAAAAAATGGGCGAATGGTCGCATCATGACGTTCATCATGACGGTCGCATCTAGAGGAGCAAGCGACATGCTGCCCGCGTGTCACTATTGTATTGCAGTGAAGATGACTTGTTTTTCGCAAATGCGAATATCAGTTGGTGATGTTTTTTTTTTTTTTTTTGTGTGACAGCAGTTGGGCCCGGAACTGGCCCTTGTTTGCGGCAAAACCGTAACCAGATATTGCTGGAAAACATGACCCTTAAAGCCACAAACTAGCCAGCACAGCAATTGACCAGCCGTAATTAATTTGAATAATTTAAAGTTCCTTGCATTCCACATTTTGTATGTTCCGTTAATTCGAAAACCCGCTCAATTCGAAGATTTCTTATGGTCCCAGTGACATTTAAATAACCAGGTTTTACTATACATGTGCTTCTAGGGTGCAACAGCAGGGAATAAAAAAATTTTGTTATATCGAGGAATTCATTATATTGAAGTTCGTTATAAGCAGGTTTAACTGTATAGTGTATGGCAAAGGTGGATTTCAGAATAGAAGCAGCGATAGTTTCGGCTCAAAGAGATGCATTGGTGCTGATAAGATACCTTGAATCAGGGTCAACTCAATGCTTACCCCACTATCAAAATAAAGCAGATATTAAAATTTCTGGAGCCCAATCAATGAGAACATATTGTATGACAATGTACATGACACTTTTCTCAGCACTTTTCTCAGGTGAATACATATCCATTGTGTTGCATCGCTTCGACCAAACAGCTTAAAGAACACCTGGGTGTCTCGCACCCATGCATTCAATTACACCTGCGCGCGCGCGCGCGCGCGCACGCACACACACACACACGCACGCACACGCACACACACACACACACACACACACACACACACACACACACCTGATTATGAAGGAGCCTCTGTCCTCAAGCAGCTGCAGATCAGATTGGAACAGGTCCAGCAGTGACAGCATAAACTTTCCGAAGTAACAATTGGGTGCTGCGGCTGCATCCCCGGCAGGCACACTGCCATCGCTGTTTATGGCCCGCTTTATGGCACCGCTGCCTCCGGGTGCGCTTGACGACGAGATTTCAGCCAGCACCTCGAGGTCTAACAGGACCACCTGCACAGAATCCAAAAAAGGCAATGCTGCGCGACACTCACTAAAATACTCACAGGGTTCCTTATTCATTCCCCTATGAAAACTCAAAGGTAAAAGCTAATATCTTCATTTTCTTCTCAGTCAGTGTATATTGATTTTCCCCCGGCCACCTCCGAAAGCTTTCTGTACGTAACGTCGTTTTGCAGTGCCTCCGTGATCAGCCCACTTGTGACCAAGTGACGGTGTAATGCAATGAAGCCATCAAGTGACGTCACCGCATGCGACATCCCTCATTTTCATGATCAGTGACATCATCATGAGGTCATATGGCCATGTCATCACATAATAATTTCATTGCGATAGCCATTATATAGACACTAGCTGCTGGATTTTGCCGCTGGCGTTCATGTCACTGTCATTAAAACGCAACAAAAAAATAATCCAGAAAAAGACTCCGGCACGCGGAATCGAACATCCAACTTCTAGCTTGTGAGTACGAGGTGTTAGCCACTGAGCCACAAAGGAGCACTTTCTTCGACGTTGAAACAGCAAGCTATTTATATCTACCACTTATGCTAGCGATGGTCATCTTGGGGGAACTATAGTGTTTTCGGAATTACCAGTGAGATGGCGCGATGAGCGTGCGACACCAAGTCGTCACGACGCGCACTCTCATCCCCCACGCGCACTCTTATCTCCCAGGTGCGCTTTGCCCCGCGAAGAGGGGGGTGGCGGACGCTCACACATGCTTACCTCGTGGTGGGGATAATTGTACGCGTTGGGCTTCCACTGGAACAATTCTGTTGTAGTTACCGAGCACACAAAGGTCACTGCACGCACTGCACAGTATCCGATTGTGAAAAGGGCGTGCTTTTCATACACAGGAAAGAAACAACTGAGGCACTTATTCACATTCATCTGTACCTGTGAGTACGATTCGTGCGTCATTTGTGCATGACAAACGCGAGACACGTTTCGATCTGCTTGCCACGTTTCGCGTGACCTTCCAATTTGTTCCTATCGCGTTCATTGCTTCGCCTTTGCAGCAAAGCTGTGACTTTTTTTTTGCATCACTGAAGTTGATGCCGACTCCATAGGAAGGTGAGGTCAATGGTGAAGATTTAAGCATGTGATGAGGCATTTAAGGCAGTCACTTTAATATGAGTGATTGACTTGATCATCCTAATTATCACCAGCTCATAGCACAGTTGCAGGAAGGTCTCTCCCTATAATGTCCAGATTATCCTGACTTTTGCGTGCTTATGCCAATTTGCTCCTGCAAACTCCATAATTTTGAGACTCCATTTAACCTTCTCCCATCTCCTGACTACATTCTCCCACTTCTTAGTATCCATCTCACTGCTCTAACTAAATCGTTTGTTCCTTGCACTGGTGACCTGCCTAGGTCAACTTTTTCTTTTTTACCTTAGTTTAATGCACAAAAAACCAGTTGGTATGACATCACCTTGTTTTTCCAGGCTCTACTTCAAACACTAAGAAAGACAAAATAAGCATTCTGCCCATTTTACTGTTTCATCTATTGCATTTTGAGGTACGATGCAAAGGAATGGTTTAATGTAAGCAAACTCGAACAGTGAAAGTTGATCACTTAGACTGACACAGTTGCATCCACAGAAGGCTTCATTGTATAAAAAAAAAAACATCTATCTATGCGTAAACAATGACCCATCTTTTGGACATTCCCAATAACAGGAGTGCTAATGGCCGATGTGCAAAGAAAACAAAATTTTTTGTTCGCACCAAAGTTGCATACCATCAGCCAAGTCTGGCTGCTTGAGATCTCGAACAATAAAGCATACATCAAAGCTAAAGTGAATAAATGGCCAGTTCCTATATGTGCATGACGCAAAATTAGTCAGTGAATACATTTTGTGCTGGCACATTCTGATGCAGTTTGCCAGTTGGCACAAAGTATGACACCAAACTGGAGGGGCCTTACCTCATCCGATGGATCCGAAAGTGTCTGTAGCAGCTTTGGAAATATCTCCTCCACATGGAGAAAAATCTAAAATGAAAAGTTTTGGAGCATAGTGTCAAGTCAACCAAGTTGCAAGTTTTTTGGTATAGAAAAGATGCATCATTTATACTTCTTTTTGTCGAGTAATCAACTTAATGTTAATGCATGCATACCCAAAATATATGAGAGCTTCACATATTCTAATTAATATTACAGTATTTGAACTTGCTTTAGAGCTAAATAAAATTATTGCAAATTTCAAAATGTTCGAAATTAACAATGAACATATAAGTGACTGCCTTTAATCTGCTCGAAAAGATGGTTTCAATGCAGTTTGACGCTGCTATGCGGTGAAACCACCTACTTAGAGGAAACACACACTGCCGTAAAGCAACACTTTTGAGGTTAAATGAATGCATTACCAGCACCCTGATTAATAATATTTTTTAAAATTAAAGGAGCCCTGATGCACTTTTTCTAGAAACCATGAAATGAATTTACTAAAAGAGCTTATTGCCCCACGAATTCAACGCTGAAAAAATTTTAAGAATCGGTCGACTATAGGTGGAGTTGAAAAGATTTTTCACACATTGCAACCTCATTCTCTCGCCCCGCCAAAGTGCTGGAGGCTAAGCAGGAAAAGATAGCAGGGGCAAAGAAAACATGTCATGCGTGACTCGTGACTTTGAGCAGTTTTTGCTCTTTTTTTCTTCGAATACGAGGCTTTTTCGTGTGATCATGCGTGCATGCGTGGTAGGTCGCGGCCTTCTGGGACGATCCCTGTAATGACTTAACGCGCCATGTTCGATGCAGTTCAACGCACTCGTGTCATGGGAGCATTGAATGTGAGGGTGTCACTTGATGCACTCGCGTCATGATACGGACAATTTTGTGGATCGGCATGCAAAGGCCTGTTAGTCTGTCGCGCCAATTGTTCCCCTTTTTTTCTGAGTCTACCCTGCAATGTACAGTTTATTGATTTCAGGAGTTTAGCGCAGTCAAGGTTTCACCATCCGTCCGTCGTATTTTTACTCTTCCCATGTGATGGGTTACAATATTCATATATGCGGCAAATTCAAGCTCGCTGTTATAAAGTTCACCCAAGAAAACGAGAACCGTGCCACTGCCAAGCATTTCAGTGTGAAGTTCTTCAAACATGTGTCGATCAGCACGGGAGAAAGTTGAAGAGCGCGCACTTGCTAATACACAAGTTTCTTGCCGTTGAAGAAGAACTTCGGAACTATGTGTGAAAGGTGAGGGAAGTTCTCCAGTACAACCACGTTAGAGAACCCGGTTTATGTCCTCACTGTCGAGGAGAGGTTCAAGAAAACAGGGCATTTGGACACACTTGACGGCACGATGTGCTTTGGGATGGCAATGACAGCAGCCGCGACAACGATTTCCAATTGGACCTCTCTAGTTATTCTGACAAGACCGTACGTTACCAGATCTGATGGTTAAAATATATGCTAATTCTTTTAAATAAATTAGTACACTTCATTGGTGCTCCAATTTACTTTCTTTTTCAATTTACATAACGGACATATTAGGACTTTATAGTATTGCTCATTGTTTTAGATGCATTACGAAATCTTGGAGTAATTCGCACACCCTCTTTAGGAGCTCAAAAATCAATAAAAAAGTCTGCAAGCTATGCGGGCAAACACGGTATCTTGTATTAAATATACGCATTGTATGCAACATGTATGTTGAACACAATATAGTATATCATTTTGCGTGTCTCTGTGTCTTTGTACTTCTGCATTGATGACTCACTATGATGCCCAGTAACATGTGCCACACACCTTATTCGGTATCTTGGTGAACAGATGCAGGAACCAGCGCAGCACCGCAATGCGCGTCTGCATGGAGACGTGCATCAGCTGCCGCGTCAACACATTCACCAACGGGGTCAGCTCCAGTTCGGTTGCGATGGGCACGGCTATTGCGTTCACGCCTTCCGGCTGGAGCTCGCCCGCAATTCTCTGTTGCACACCAAGGCCCAGCCCTCGCGTTGCAGGTGAGTCGCTGTCGCTCCCCGCGGGGCCCCGAGACAGAGGTTGGTCGTCCTCCTCGGTGACCAGATGCATCAGCCGCATGTTTACCGCCTTGGCCGTTTCGCGGATGGCTGCGCAACATCATTAAAGGCACCATGGCAACCGATTTTCTAAAAATCACGATTTGCGCTAGGCGAGTTAATCCACGTTCACAAATAAGTTGGCGAAGTCTTGGATAATTTAATTGAGCGCTTAATTTGTGATTGAATATTTCTACGCTCAGAACTCATAATAACAATGCTAAATCTTACACAAAAGTAAGTTCATATAGTCTAGAAATTTATTTTAAAGGTACAATTAAAGATTGTTCTTCATTTACTTCATTATACCTGAAATTTTGTTATATCAAGGTTTGTTATGTGAAGGTTTGAGTGTATAAACTTGTCTATGGCTTGATATTTGGGCAACACTGGCACACTTGCGAACCATAAACAAGCTGCGTGCTGTGTGAGCATCTACAAACTGGTAAATATTTCGTTCAGTGTCCAGCTGCTAGTACAATTGACATATTTCAACTTGGCAGTGAAAGCGAATGATTCACAGCAACTGAAAGGGTGGTAGAAATTGACAACTTCGCTCTATACAGCACATGATGTCACACATGCTATAGCAAAATGGCGGCTGCTGGCTATTGCTGGGGTTTATGGCTGGCAACTCCTAGGGTTTATTTCGCATCGAAATATTCTTTTCAGTTTTATTTATTTCATAGATTTATAGGCAAATTAGACCCTCTACTTTAATTTGTTGCTGAAAACTGCAAAAGTTTTTGGTGACCGTGCCACAGTTTCTTTAAAGTTTTATCTGAAAATGCTAGTGAGAATAATTATTCCTCTTGTATAAATGATTACCCTTTTCAGAAAAGCAACATCCCAGATAAATATTGGAACCATTATGCTGCAGAAAAATGTTTTTGGAGCTGTTTATGGGAAATAAAAAAAAAGAACTCCCTCATAAGCACTAAATTTCAAATTCGGGCTGTATAAAAGAGGCGGCCAAAGAAATAGCACAAATTTAAAGACAGGGCGACGCAAAGCAAGAAAGACAACACGAACACTGAAGTTAAGTAGAATGTGCCAGCCACTCTACTGAACAACAAAATCATTTTTTTAAAGAGAACAAAATATGTACAAATTATTCAACACCAGTAGAATCATACTTAAGCTTCAGTGCACAAGGTCCGGCAAAAGTGTTCCGGTTTTGTATAAGAAGAGCATTGACTCAAAGTTGAAAAATAAAGGCAGACGACTCATCAGCAAGTATGGCTGACCATGTAAGAAGCATAGTAAGAAGAAGACTAAAGCAAAAAAGACCCATATGGCTCTGTGTGCATTCACTTATGATGACTGGAAGCCATTTTCTTTTTCTTCTCCTCCATCGATTGTCTCTGAAGTCGGAGCCATCGCAAGCTTTCAGCACCTTCCGTACATCTGAGATTTGCCCATCCATGACCGTGTGATGATGACATCAAACATTTCGGTGATATGTCATGCCACAATCACACCATGAGGCGGCGACCTTGTATCGTGGTGATTTTTTACGCCTCAGTTGCGTTGATGCCAATCATCCCATTTCGTGCATGATGAGGCAGGCATCTAAGGCTTTTGCCTTGATAACTGGAGCCAACCAGGGTCACAAAAATTCAAAAGTGCATTCCCACAATGAACTCAGGGAAGCGACAGAAAGGAAGAAAAACATCCACTACAAAAAAAAACCATAGGCTTAGCAAAAAGATGTGTGACATATTAGATATATTTGTCTTTGTCTAGTGCAAGTGGCATTTGAATTAAGACCCCTCCAATTCAGATCTCTCAAGGAATGTAACCTTCGGATGAGTCGTGCGGATCTTCCACATTTTCCACTAATCAATGACGAGCGAAAAGTTGAAATTACTAGGTTTGTGCAAATATTCAGATGCTTCAAATATTCTGAAGAATATTAAAGTATTTGAATTCACATGGATTTATATTTGAACTAGAGAAAATTTCAAAGTATTCCAAATGAACGAATAAATGCATATAAATCCCTATGTGACCCTCTGGAAAGATGGTTTTACCTCAGTGAAGGTGTGCTAAGCCATCACTTGCAGGTTATCACTAGCATTCTGCCAAAAGTGAAATCCTGCTACTATTCGAAGCTGTTTACACTTCCTCAGAGCTAAAAAAATGGCAATTGCACAAGCTTTGTTTCTATTTCCCAAAAGATATTGTGCAGGTTAGTTGGGTCAGCATAAAAATATGCCCAACTTTCTTAATAAGATGTCATGTATACTATTCCAATTGGATTTGAAATTATTCAACCAAAATGACTATTTGTATCTGACTGAAAATTTACTATCCGCACAAGCCTAGAAATAACGCTACCTCAACATCCTATTTGTTGCAGATCAAAAAATTATGAAAATACCCTACAAGCGGGGTGATTATCCTACAATTAGCTATCCTGCCTGCGCATGCATTGCAAACGGCCCGAGTGCGTTAAGGTCGATAGAAGGAACTCCTTGATGAGCGCATTACGGTGAAGTTGCTCCCACTGGCAGTTCAAGATGAAACTCAAGACACTGTAACGGGGAAGGGAATATTGACTTCTTCATGCGCACATGAAGTGGCTCAATAACTTTATTCCGGAAGGTCTGGAAATAGAACTATGCAGCGGGCGGCAAGTGCAAAGAACATAGTTGAGGCTACTTGAAAAAGTGGCAGTAGACACAACAAAGGGGCTGTGGGCAAGCCAGCTAACCTGCGCTCGAGCATGGGCTACCATTGGTGAACTCCTTGCACCGGCACAGCCAATCCCACCACTACTCTCCACTATGCCTGCTGCACTCCCATCTTAGCTTCTGTTTCGCTCTCCTTCACTCCACCCAGCTTCACCTATCTTCAAGACGTGCTACACTAGACCATTTTCTCGGCTACATAGCTTCTTTATCCATGCTCTTCCCCTCTTCAAGCCTCACTCTCGCAGCTATTTTAGAAAGCATGGACAACAGATCCTAGGAAATTACCTTGGCATTAAACAGCTCCGCTGCGCAACTAAGAACGCCAAACATTCCAACTCACCAGCAGCATGGGCCATGTGAGGGTGATTCTGGTCACCGGGGTCGTCGTACGAGAGGGTGGGAAGGACGGCCTCCTAGAATGCCTGCCGCGTGTGGCAGTAGCGTGCGCCCGGACAATGCCACGAATTCACGCATCCAGCGGATGGCCTTGTACTGCACCAGCTCCTCTGCAAACAATAGGTGGACAGGCGGTTGACGACTAAACAGCGAATGACTCAGACTCATGTAGGTCTGAAACAACAAATTCATTGGGTAAAATTCTTTTAGAAAATTATGGCTGGCTTCCCTATAATCAACGACCATGACAGAACCATTTTGTGCTTAAAACTGAACGTTAAGAGTGGTTCCCGTTTAGAACTAGAACGCACTGGACAAAGTGTGCGGACAAGAGTCCTCCTCACCGGAGGAATGAGAGTGGACGATGAGGTTCCGGATCATCGCAGCAAAGTCCACACGGTCGGGGTGCTGCAGGATGTTGCGCAAGGAATTCGCTCAACGTCGTCTCGCACCTGCGCAACACATAGAGACATATTACAACGCTACCAACCAGTTGACCGGCAAAAAATTTTGGCTATAGAAAGCTACTGTGCTCAGGTGGGCGACGAAACTGCACACGTGTGGGCGCCAAACGAGTTGGCTCAAAAAGTCCTTAGGACAGGGCCACTGGCAACGTTGAAACACATACGAAACATCGCACGGCGTGTTATGAAGTGTATCTGTTTTTGCGCCGCGTTTTGTTTTCTGCAAAATTACAGCCCAGAAAATCGAGTTTACGCGCATTGTCGAATGCAACAGATCAGAAGCTCTGACTAAAGAGCAGGCTGGTGTACCGAACGAGCAGTGATGCCTCCGGGTATAATGCCGAATGGCTTCAGCAGTGTGGTGTTCATGGAGGGGTGCTTTTGCAACAGTGCGCAGTCGAAAGGACACAACCTTTGCACAGAACGTTATGAGAAGCCAAATTACAGCCAAATGCCATTTACAAGCCAAACAAACATCGTACGACATTGTGCATGAATTGAGCATGAAAGAGCTTGCCTTAGTCTGTGCTGCCTGCAAGTTATTTTGTCGCTTTCAATTATAATTATATCTGAGGATGCGTTCGACCAAGTAGCAGCTCATTTGAGAGATCACGGCGTCAATGACGCAATATGCAGCTGTTGTGGTGTGTTAACCCGCAGGGGAGACGCCGTCTCATGTCGCGCTTTTGTTTTCGATGTTTTGAACAGTGCCAAGAGCAAAAAATTGCCCGCAGCTTCCCTCGGGTGGAACACTGAGGAGGATGCGGGACCATATAATTGGTTAACGGGGTGTTAAAGTGCGGACTTACTTGGGTCGATGGCTAAATTGGTTAACGTGGTTGTGAAATGGGGTGTTAAATTGCGACTTACTTGGGTTCGATGGCTAAATTGGTTACATGGTTGTAGGAGGGGGTGTTAATGAGTGAACACGTACACACGTATGCGAAAGGGCGGCGCTGGTCGAAGGGACGTCGATCATGTGTTTTGTGGATTCGTTGGAATTCATTTCACCGCGACCTTGGACGTCGACGCGCCGTACAAACCAACCGACGAGCGGCAACTGAGCGAGCGAGCGCCGACCTTGAGTATATATACAGCACGACGGCGCATGCACTTGTCAGCTGTTGAATGTTCTCGAAGCGGCGACGCCACATGCGCGTCCACTGGAGAATCAGGAGAATTGTTAGATGTCGAACGCGGTGTGTAGATGAGGAAGGGTGCACAGATGGTGGAGGAGTGAAGCGCGCGCGGTGTGTAGAGGAAGGAAGGGATGCACAGATGGTGGACAGAGGGGCGACGGCGCGATGGCGCATGGCGCGCGCGTCAGCTGTCGAATGTTTCGAGAAGCGGTGCGGACGGCGCGGACGGCGCGGACGGCGCACTACAAGGCGCGAGTATAAGATGCTCCGCATCTAAAAGACTCGTGCATGTTCGGTAGTTAAGTTTCCGTAGCTCGTCAACTCACAGGTGGGAATCTATTGCGTACTGCGCTTTTCATTGCAGTCTTACGAACAGTGTACGAGTAGTAAAGCATGCAGATAACTTTTCGATAGCCGGCAGTTCCAGCTCTCGTAGCATGTTAACGCACAGTTGAGAAGCCGTTTTTGTTTTGCAATTTTATTTGCTGTGCTTAAAGGGCCACTCACCAGGCTCCACACCAAGCTTTAGTTATACAGTGGGAAGTTGTTGGGTTGTTCGATAAGGAGCATTTTTGCTACAAAAAAAAGTGTTTGAATCGGTTCATCACAAGCGGAGAAAACGGGTTTTGAAGCAAAGCGAAACAAGGATGAGATGAGGTGAGCTCGAAATCCTTACCGCTCCTCCGCGTAAGCCTTCGCAAGCCAAATCTCTCCCCTTTCTTCTCAGGCATCCGACAAGAGGTCAGTGTGGCGTATGACATGCCCAAACAAGTCCAACCCCTAGCACGCGAGTGGCGTTTGCTTCGTTGAACCAGGAGTTATTTTGTGGTCTCCTGCCTGTTCTGCGGGATGGTTTGAAAACGCGGTTTTAGACGCGGTAGAATAGATGAGCACAATGAGTGAGCGAACGCGTAGGAGCGTTCCACGATGGTCGTGTGCTCGATGCGCTGACCGCGGGGACACGAACGCATGCAAAACGCCGACACTTAGCCCCGCATGTCGTTGATATTCAGGGGAGGAAAAAATAAAAAAAAGATGCTCCACATTTCTCTTATTGCATTCTCATATTCATCTAGAGGCTTTATTATCCTCTTCAAGCAACAAATTACATAAACTACGCATGCCGTGTTACATACTTTTCGCCTTGTTACATGCCACTGTTTGCAATGTCAGAGCAGATTCGTCTACGTAGATGACCACCATCCCTGCATTGCTGTGTACGTAGGGCCATTCATACGCGCACGTCATGCCCTCAATCTCTGGGGCGCGCGCCAGTAGAAGGGAGGGGGAGAGCAGCGTTCATCTTAAAATTTTACCCATTTCTGCGGCGTGTAGCGTTGCAAAATTTCGCAGACGTGATCACAAACGCCTCGTCTATGCATTGCGCTTATCAGCTCAAAATTGTGAACCTGGTGAGTGGCCCATTAAGAAGGGGGAAAGGGGGACATTACCCGCCAAATTAATCTTCAATTCACTTTCTTCGTAGCTGGCAGCGAAGCGCGAAGTGTGTGGGTTAAGCTTACAAGGCCTGCATGAGTGGAAACTGCAAACAACTTGCAGCGGTCGTACTTTGGATAAACAATGCCGTCTCGCCATTGTGAACAGACCAATCACAACCTTGGGGTTGGCCATCATCTAACCTGAACGCCAGTAGAGGAGCCCACTGATGAACGTTTTGGAGGTAGGCATAATGGGCATCCCAGCCGTGTGTTAATAAGTTACTGTGTGCGCGAAAAGTGGCGAATCGCTTTGCCTAAGTGAATTTTTTAGTATTTTCTTCTTGTAAGGATGTCTAGAGTTGTGTACGTGGCAACTTATCGAAATTAAATGTGCAATTCTCTGCGTGATTTTACATATCTAAGCGGTAACATGCTTGCTTAGTAAAAGTTTTGTTGTGTTTTACAGATCCAGTGTTTCCACCACTCTTTCTCGTACGGCCTCGTTGAGAATAATTATAAATTATTGTTTTGGTGGTACCCCCCTCCTGTGTGGCACTTTACACACACTAGTACCTTCCTTTCCTGCGTTTCTTTTTGGCGCCCTTCTATGCATTCGTCCACAGTAGTCATCACGATACTACTACCCGTACTAACAGTAGATGCAATCACACTCTAAATGATTGTCAACCAGTGTAGCAAACACAAAGTGAGTGCGAATGCGTCACTTAGTGAAGTCGACAGCTGTGACCTCGCAACAAGCAAGCAGCAGAACGCACTCTTCTGCAGCGATGATCGGACTGATGGCAAAGTAAGCTGCAGCAACAAGGCGGACACAGCCAATTGAAAGCCTCATAATGAGCTTTCAACTTTTGTACACTTGTTTCTGAACGAAGGATCTAGCTAAAGCCGTAAATTTTAAGGAGAAATGTTTTTTTTTTCCTAAAGGAGAAAAGCTATATTTTTTTAAGAGTATAGTTTAGAATGAGCTTAGGAATCCTCTTCAAGTTTTTCCTGTAATTTCACTTTGAAAAATTTGAAAAATATTCTAAATTTCTTCCATTTGATTTGCATTTAAACTTCACTGTTCGAATTCAGTATGCATTACAAAATTTTGCTGAAGCTGGGATTCATGGTAGACTTTATTTCTTCAGAAGGAAACTGCGGACAATTCTGTTAAATGGTCATGAGCCCAATGCTGACGTTCTACGCTAACTTTTTGAGGGCTCCTGTTGAGCGACGTAAGCAACCACTACAACCCACAAGCTTTGCGTATGGTATTCTAATTCTTGACTATTGCTTGCATTTTTTGTGTCTCAAATAAGCCTTGCCGTGTGTTGAACCTGTGCTTTTACTGTTGAAGTAAGTTTTAATAAGTACTTCTCAAAGCTTTCCGTTAGTTGCTGGCACGAGAATCTCAATTTGCAGCCACTTCGGTTTCTTTTTTGCTCTGCACGTTTTCGTGGACCATTTTGTTGCCGTAATTCTCGCACCCTCAAATTGAATCGGTTTCCGCCAAAAAAGTGCGAGAATTAAGCGAGTAAATACGGTGGTATGGTAATGGAATGTTTGGGATGATACAAATATTTTCTATGGCCCTTCAGGTTCGTATCATTGGGTTTCTATTGTACTGTACATAGTATGCACAATAATAAAACCCAATTTCATCACATGTGCAAATAGCTTACATGGCTCGCATATCCTATTTCAGACCTGTTTTCCAATATTTTCACCTAAAGGAGGCACCAAACCCACTAAGACAACTTGCAGAGTGTTTATGAACAGCTGACTTAATAAAATTGATCACCGTACTGACAGAAACTTACATTTTTTTTGAGTTCAACCGAGGATCTTCAAGTATGTAGAAAGGCCATCAAGGATTTCGGGCAGGAAGATGAGCATGTCAATGTCCGGCACAGAGTTCATCACAGACACCTGGACGACAGTTGACAAAAAAGGCACACAAAAACACTGCTGCTGAAAAAATGGCCAACACTGGCATAAAAAACATTTGGAAAGACAAATTTTATATCTGCCAACAAGTCTTCCTTGAAATGAGGTCATATGAACCGGAAATTCGAAAAAAATTTATTCAGTTCCATGTGCGAAACCTAGATATTGTCACGAGGTCATGACGTGGACAAAAGGCAGCAGTCCACATATTCAAGATGGAAGTTTATTTGACCGAACTTGTGACTGGGAAACCGGACGTCAGACTACAGTAAGAAATACACTCTGTACAACGATAGTGGCGAACAGAGCATCAGTCGTCAACGAAAGTGATCATCGATGGAACGCGCAGTCTTTTATAAATCCAGCACCAAACTTTCCAGTTTTGTCACTGGTGGTGGCGCAGCTCTGAAATAAGCTCGACCGTTTCGAGTCCATGCGTGCTATCTTAACAATGTGATCTATACTACAGTAGAGAAGCTTCTCGGACACAGAGGCGCGGTCTGTGTCGAGCATTGCCGACAAAGTTTGCGGGTGTAGGCTGAATACGGAAAAAGCGAAACAAAAACCTGAAAAAAGCGAAACAAAAACGAGCATGGCAATATAATCGCAAGGTACGTCAAAAGGGTGTAACGCAAAAGGAGGTAACTGAGCGCAACTTTTACTGAAGAATAACTGAAATGCAATTCAAAACATGTACATTACCATCCTTTCACATGTATGTGCTAAGAGTTCTACTGCCAATGCTACCATGAAAGAATGAAAAAAGGAAATTTTCGAGGGCTCATGGCTTTTCATGACACAACCTAAATAAAACCTACAGGTAATAAAACCAAGGAAGGCATCGGGAACGCTGCTTGTACTGCTTCAAGTGCATTTTAATAACTGTGACATAGATGTCAAGAAAAAACGAGTGGATGAAAACACAACTTGGTGCTGGCAGGGACCGAACTTGTGAGCTTCGGATTACGTTCCCAATTTTCTTACAAAGTGAGCTACAGCAAAGATCACCCTCTCGTCCCAATATAGGGTATTTCAATAATCAGTGTTAGTCAGCGCCACTCTCAGCCATGATGGAAAGTGTAGAACACTTTTTTTTACCAGATGGGGTAAAGAAGCACGTCAACATTGAATGAGCGGGCAGCTTGTTAACCCTTCCAGTGTTTTTCCAAGCATGTACGGAATCGCGTAACAGGCACCAAATAGTACTTGCCGCACATGCACGGCATCCCTTGCATGTTATAATGCGCGCCTTTCTCAATCATTACACTGTCTTGGCATGTGCTGCCTCATTTCGGGAATACGTGGAATTTTTTTCTGTGCACCGATGTCTCTCCGCTTTTTTTTTTCTTCCAAAGTGGTGCACTGGCTATTGCTTGCAGATCAGAGCACGCTCACATTGCAGCTGCTTTAGAATGCACATCTTTTTTAGATCATTTATCACGCTTGGCATGTGCTGCCATGCTTTGAAAATATGCGGTCTTTTTTCTTGCGTTGATGTCTCTCTGCTGTTATTTTTTTAAAGTGAAGCACTGGCTTCCGTTTGCGCATCCAAAGGCACACATGCAGTCCAGCTGGTTTGTTTCGTCCTTTGCGTCGTTATCGCTTCTCGCGCCCACTTTGTATAGCATTCCAATTTGTAGCTATCACTATGATCCCTTCACCCTTAGAGCAAAACAGCAATTTTTTATTTGCCTTTGGACTTGGGTTGCCAACCTAGAATGTGGGTTGGTAAATGACAGTAACTATGGCTCGCCACAAGTGATCTCAATCAGAATTCCAACGTTGTCGACCCTGCAGTCACACTTGCTGAGTGCGAATTCCTGTGCAACGCCGCGTATCAGGGAGCACTCACCCAGGAGACCACAAACGCTCGCGCAAAGTTGTGCTTTGTGTAGACCCGCTCACGCAGCAGCGGCATGAAGGCCACCAGGTCGAACGAAGCGCTCTCCGTTATGATGTCCTGCGTAGAAAAGACAGAAAGCTCGCTTCTTTGATAACATGCCAGCGACAAGAGTGTACAGAGTTGTGCTCCACGTCTAGGATCATATGTTAAAAGTATAAAAGGATAAAACAGGGGCCGAGTGAAACAATAAACAATGTGAGAATGCTCACAAAAGCAGGAAAACAGGGGGGAGCATTTCCGGGCCATCACATCGAGAGGCAGTCTCACCTTCACGAGTTGCATACCGAGTTGGCTAATAGCAATGATGATGATGATGATGATGATGATATATGTTGTTTAATGGCGCAAGGGTCATTGGATGGCCAAAGAGCGCCAGGAACTGATATCGAATCGGAGCAATGGTTATGTTAAATGGCTGTAACAGGGCCTAAGATTCTGCGCTCTAAAGGTGCGTAAGACATATATTTATTAAAATCATGAAAGTGACTTGAAGCATGCCTGGTGAGAATGAGTCTTAAGTTATCATGACACCATAGAATAGGAGTGTTATATTAGCACCGATACCTCGCCAGCGCCCTTGGTCCCAAGGGCCGGGAGACAGGTGCTCTCTTTGGATGTAGCATCCGCAGCAGCAGCCTCCTTTCAGAGGCCGTGCTACCAATCCCTTGAGTAGATAACATGGAAAGTATTTACTTCCTTTAAGAATGCATTCAATGCATTATATTTAAAGAGAGGTTCGCGACCAATAAACATAGCTGGATGAAAGGGTATGTGTTCCTTGTACGCTAGTGGAAAATGTTTTTTCCTTTAAGCCTCTAGCTCAGAGCATTCAAGGAGTATGTGGAGTACGGTAAGTGGACGGCCACATCTGTGACAGCTGGGTGGGTCACCACCGGACAAAAGATGTGTGTGTGTGCTGTGTGTGTGTCCTATTCTAAGCCGACAGAGACTGACCTTTGTACGGCGTGTTTTTGACGTGGGTGGCCAGTTACCGAGGTATGGTTTGATCAAATGTAACTTGTTATGAGTTTGTAGATCCCATAACTTCTGCCAGTAAGCCCTGAGCTTTTTCCGTATGTCTGGTTTTAGGTCCATTATAGGGACATCAACTGGAGAGTTGGCAGTGCTTCCGTTGATTGACGTGGCGAGCTGGTCAGCCAACACATTTCCTTCAATCTCGCGGTGTCCTGGCACCCAGCACACGACGATATGTTGCTTGGAAGCATAGGCCACGCAGAGTATTGAATAGAGGGATTTAATTATAAGGTTTTTGTGCTTTTTTAGATTTTTCAACGCTTTTACGACACTCAGGGAGTATGTGTATATAACTACCCTTGGCGTATTCACTTCATTGATGCGTTTAACGGCTACGAATAACGCGTAAGCCTCGGCTGTAAAAATGCTTGTGCTGGTGGACAGAACGCCGGAATTCGAGAAGGATGGGCTGACCGCCGCACAGGACACGCCAGTATAGGACTTGGATGCATCAGTATATTATTCTGGACAGTCATATTTATGTTGCAGCTCTAAGAAATACTTCCGAATGTGTATGGGGGAGGCATGCTTTGTGACAGCTACGAAAGATGTGTCACACAGTCTATAACCTGCCACTGCCATGGCGGGAGCCGCAGAGCGGGGGGGGGGGGGGCTGACGTGGTATTCAAGCAGCGGGACATCTGTTTCTTCAGCTAGGTCTCTAACACGCAGCGAGAAAGGGCGTGCCATTGCGGGCCGATTGCAAAAAAGTTGAGAGCTGGACAGGTCGTTGATGATGGAATATGCGGGTTGCTCACTGTTCGCATTTACTTTAAGGAAATATATGAAGGAAGAATATATTTCTGCAGATGGAGTGACCACTCGTCCGATTCCACATAAAGGCTTTCAACTGGGCTTGTTCTAAAGGCGCCTGTGGACAGGCGGATGCCTTGATGATGAACAGGGTCCAACATTTTCAGAGCGCTTGGCGTGGCAGAGTGATAGACTATTGCCCCATACTCAAGGCGTGAGCGTATAGGGCTTCTATACAGATTCATGAAGCACTTTCTGTCACTGCCCCGCGTTGTTCGTGACAGCACCTTTAGTATATTCATTGTATTCAAGCATTTATTTTTAATATGTTTTATGTGTGGTACAAAGGTTAACTTCGCATCTAAAATTATACCTAGGAACCTATGTTCTGTGTTTACTGGTAGACGCTCACCCTTAACGACCACTTCAGGGTCAGGGCGCAAGCCTCTTTTTCTAGAAAAAAGGACACAGGTGCTTTTCTGTGGGTTCTGTTTGAACCCGTTTTCGTCATCCTATTTGGGTACCTTGTTAAGGGCAAGCTGAACCTGTCGCTCACAGCCCAAGAGAACACGATTTAAAACCTATCTGCACATCGTCGACATATGTTGAATAAAAGAGATTACGTGGAATGTACAGACGGAGAGAATTCATTTTTATAATAAAGAGCGTACAGCTGAGCACCCCACCCTGTGGCACTCCGGTCTCCTGTACAAATGTTCGCGACAGAAGATTGCTCACTCTAACGCGGAATGTACGATGAGACAGATAGCTTTCAATGACACTGAACATATTACAGTGTATACCTATGTGTGAGAGGTCTCTCAATATTCCAAATCTCCACGTAGTATCGTAGGCCTTCTCCATGTCGGGGAACACAGATAAGAAAAACTGATTATGAATAAAAAAGCCTCACGTATGTGCGCCTCGATACGTATAAGATGGTCAGTGGTAGATCGGCCCTCTCTAAGCCCGCATTGGTATGGGTCGAGCAATTTTTTTTGTTTCTAAGTAGTGGAGTAAGCGGCGATTGATCATTTTTTCAAGTAGTTTGCAGAGGCAGCTTGTTAACGCTATAGGTCTGTAACTTGATACAGTAGACGGATCCTTCCCTGCTTCAAAATTGTAATTATAACAGCCTCCTTCCAGGAGGAGGGATCACACCTGAAAACCATATGCGATTATAAAGAGAGAGGAGGGTTTCTTTAGTTTCCGAGGGTAGTTCCTTCAGCATCGCGTACATTACATTGTCAGAACCTGGGGTAGATGTATTGCAGCAGCTGAGTGCCGTTCGCAGTTCTGCTAAGCAGAATGGTTCATTATATGTCTCATTTCTTGTGGATTTTCTTTCTAACTTTTGTTTTTCTATTCGTGCCTTGTAATTCTGAAAGGATTCAGAGTAGTGTGAGGAGCTCGATATGTGTTCGAAATGTGTGCCAAAAAAGTTGGCTTGATTCTCCAAGCTTTCCCCGAGGCTATTTACTAGTGGAAGGCAATACGTTTGTTGTCACTTAATTTTCTTTACCTTATTCCACACTTTTCCCTCATCCGTGTATGAGTTGATACTCGATATAAACTTTGCCCAGCTCTCTCGTCTAGCTTGTCGACGCGTTCTCCTTGCCTGCGATTTGACCCGCTTGAAATTTTCCAGGTTTTCAGCTGTAGGAGAATCGCGAAGCAACGCCCATGCTTTGTTCTGAGTGGTCCGTGCTTTCCTGCATGCGTCGTTCCACTATGAGACTCGCCGTTTAGAAGACATGCCGCTCGTTTTAGCAATACATTTAGATGCGGCATCAAGTATAAAAGCTGTAAAATACGTGACAGCGTCATCAATGGTCATTGCAGACAGCTCAGTCCATGTCATGTATGCAAGAGTTCTATACCCTTCGCAATCAGCTGAGTCAATCTTCCATCGAAGAACCAGCGGCGGTAGTTGATCTTTGTTCGGCGCACTCAAAATGATTGGGAAGTGGTCACTCCCATAAGGGTTTTTTAAGGCGCTCCATTTAAAAACAGGTAAAATGGGACGGTGATGAAATGCTAAGATCTATGGAGGAGTACGTGTTGTTTGAGAGGCTAAAATACGTAGGCTCCTTCATATTTAAAAGACACAAACTAGAAGAGAAAAGGAGCTGCTCAATGAGACGTCCTCGTGCATCACAGTGAGCATACCCCACAAGACATTGTGTGCATTAAAATCACCTAGAACCAGAAACGGCTCTGGGAGTTCATCTACTAATGATTCTAGATCACGTCTGTGTAGCTGTTGATGCGGTGGTATGTATACAGAACATATGGTAAGGAGTTTATTAAAAAGTACAGCTCGAATGGCCCACTGCTTCAAAAGCCGTTTGGAGCTTCAAATGCTGGCATGCTGGCTTCGATCAGCTATAATGGCCACAACCGCCAGAAGGTACGACAGCATCCTCCCGGTCTTTTTGGAAAATAATTGATTGCTGTAGGAAGATCTTGTGCTTAGGAGTTAAGTGTGTTTCTCGCACACATAGCACTTTTGCGTTGAACTTACTCAGAAGTTCTTGGACGTCATCTAAATTTCCAAGTATTTCTTCTCTGAAGCAGATTTATTCAGAGCAAGCTAAAGAATCTTGTGGTGAGTGACCCTTTTCGTACGAAGGGCTCAAGTGGTGTGTGTAACTTTTTGCGGTCTCGCGTTACCACAGGCAACGCCTTTTCAGCGGATGTTGTAGATCTGTATTATTCCGTGCCGCATGACAAGCTTCCAGCCTCTGTAAAATCCTGCATAGAAGAGAATGGTGACGTCGATTTTATCAATGACGCGGGCGTCAATCTAGACACCTTTTTATCGCTTTTAGAATTTTATCTGAATGCAACTTTTATTATGTCCGATGAAAAGCCCTTTCTTACGCGGCAAGGAATTTTCATTGGTTCCTGTGTCGCCCCGGTTCTTTGCGATATTTTTTAGCGAATGTAGATAGGGATTTGGACAATGCTTTTAAAGGGGGCAAGGTTTTAAAGGTTTTTAGGTACGTTGACAATTTTTAATTCTTTTAGATAAACAGGGTGACCTTACATCCCCTGATTTTATTTTAAACGTTTTTATAAGACTAGGATGAGGGCTTTCCTTTACTGTCGAATTGCCTCAAGAAGCTTGTTTGCAGCTTTTAGACTTAAGCCTCACGTGGAACGATGAGCATTTTTGCTGGTCTTATCATCCCTCGTGTTGAGAAGGAGCTGTTGCCGTATGATTCTGCCCACTCAAAGATTGTGAAGAGGGGGCGTTGCGTCTCTTTGCTTAGAATCAGCGCTAAAAAGGGTCGTGCCCACACAGCATGAAACTAGTTTCCTTAATCAGGTGAGCCGACTATAGACTGCTGCGTTCGCTCGATCGGTCATTACGGCCGTTGCTGAATCACTTCTGCAGAAGTTTAAACGTAGAACACGGGAAGCGATGACTGCTACCCAGCCTTAAGGATTAGGCCACAAGTTGTGCCATATATCCATAAGGTCTTGCACGACCTTAAGAAAGTCGCGGCCAGGCACGGCGTACCGATGGTATTTTCCGCACCAGAAAAAATTGGAAGACAGTGCCAAAGTGTGTGCGATAGAAAGAAGCGCGGCTGTCAGAAGAAACATAAGAGGGCCTTTGTTAAGTGTTCCATGGGGTTGTGTACTTCATACCCTTGTCCTGCGGAAAAGTGAACATTGGCCAAATCGAACGGTGTATTAATGACCGATTAAGGGAACCCGCCCAAAAATTAACGAAAAGAGATGACAAGTATGCGCACCTGGTTGCGCATGTCATCTCGTGTGGTTGTGACGCACGATTTTCTGAAACGAAGATTCTGAACAGAAGTGCAAGTAAAACTGCACGTGAAGTGTTAGAAGCCTTTTTCATTGAAAAAAATAAAGATCACTGTGTAAGCGCCCCTTAAATTTCGTTGTTACCAAGCGAACTTCAGTTTATCGCTCTAAGGCTATGATATTGATTAACTGCACGTTTTAATTGATTGATTGATTGATTGATTGATATGTGGGGTTTAACGTCCCAAAACCACTATATCATTATGAGAGACGCCGTAGTGGAGGGCTCCGGAAATTTAGACCACCTGGGGTTCTTTGACGTGTACGTTTTGATAATGTATGCTGTTGGCCTTCTTTGTGTGTGTGCGCACAATGTGTCCTGTATATATTCAAACCTTCGAGCTATGATAAATCAGTTGGCAGTGAGCGCTGTGTGGTTTGATGCATGGGTGTGTGCGTGTGTGAGTGATCGTGTCAAGTTTTTGCGCTCTAATTAACTTTTCGAAATGATCTTCCAACTAGCCCAACAACAAGTTCTCTTAGAATACATTTCTCGTACAGTGGGCGTCTCTTTTAAACTCGTTAGACCTTGTGTGAATTATTGATGGACTTGTGCGCAACATCATCGAGGCCACATGCCAAGCAAGGAAGTGTGCCTTCTGCATACGCAAGGGTATCCCTCCTAAGGAAGTTTGTGCCTTATTCGGAGGTGTTCAGCCATCCTGGAGACATGTCAAAAGAGTCTGCAAGATTCTCAAGGCGGAACTTTGGCGTCAGGTGCGTTTGTTTCAAGAGTGGTTTCGCGTGGTCCACTACAGTCTTCTTCCGCAATGGCAGGCTGCTCAACACCTTCGATGGCTGAGGCAGCAACTGGGCGTACTAACGGAAGTGAGGTGGAAGCAGGTCCCCAACCCACTGCTCAAGTTGTTTGACAAGCAAAAAAGGGAAGAACAGAAGCGCATTGTGGTGCTACAGGACGCATACATTCCGGTAGAAATCGAGAGATGGCTTCGGAAGGGACCAAAGTTTGCCGTCCCGCCTCGTATTTCTGCCCACGAATTTGTCGGACTAAACAGGGACTTGTCTGTGAAGGCCAACCAAGACAATACAATGAAAATACCAAGAGAGTAAGAAAGAAAAACACCGGGTGAAGAGATAACGTGCCGCTGGCAGGGACCAAACTTGCGCTTTTCGAATAACGCAGCCATGCTCTACCAACTGAGGTACCGTGGTTTTAATTTTTTAAGCTTCTTTGTGGCTGACTGTGGAGGTCCACTCCAACCTAATACAACAATTCAGAAAATTACGGATGTTCCGCCTCCTACGCAGGTGGCAATCTTCAGTATACACTGGCAGCAAAAACAAGAAAGAGGAAAAAAGTAGCAGACTTCAATCAGTTCATCAGTCACTCATACGTACTGATCGTTTTCCAAGTGTGCGGTCTTTGGGTTTCCCGAACACGTGTGCCAAATAATAGTGGGGCTTAAAAGCGGTTAGTATGTCCAGCGGACGCAAAGCTCTATAAACAGTGGTCTGACACAAAATGAACAACATAGGGAACAGATTTAATGGACGCCGGCTCTACTCGTTACGCACTCCCTGATGTCTCTGAAATGTCCCTGCTGTGTCTGCTGATGTGTCAGAAGCCGCATAATACTACCTCGCGGGCCGCA